TGATGATGATGATGAAACATTTATTTCAATGCTGTCATTCTTTACAATGTAACCAAACATGTTCACGTTACTTAAGTACTGAATATATCTGGCCATTAAATTGTGTAACATTACATACAACAGGATAAATTAGATGACAACATTCAGGTTTAAGGTTAAAAGCAGTAACGCTTTTTCACCCCAACCCATAGACAGAAGACAACCATACAATCTAACACAGGACAGACAAATGATGAACAAGACAAAACAAACAAGAGTGAAACAACGCCGCATTAATAGAGCACAAATAAATATGAGTTAGGAACATGAGCTGAGCAATTGAGTTCTTAGTTTTCTAACAAACAAAGATAAAGAAGGCGATGATTTAAGAGAGGCCATCTAGACCATTCCAGTACAAGATACCTGCGATGAATAACATCGTTCTTAGCCAATCACGTTCTCTTAAATTGGCCATACAAGTTTCCCCACACACTGCCTCGAGTAGACCCCCTATTATAATTTAAATGAATATTATAATTATGAATGTTAGACGCTAAAGTAAAACAAGAATTAAAACTGGAAGAGCGTACATGAATTTTTCCTAAATTAAGTTCTTATCGATGGTTACATTGCAATAGGTTCAATTTAGCAAACAACGGAGTTGAAATATTACGATAGCCAGCATTCAAAAATAATGCGGACCGCTCGTTTTTGTAAAGTGAGTAATTTGTTACATTTGGATGTCATGCAGCCCCAAGTCAAAATGGAATAATTTAAAAATGGTTATATGAAGGAATTATACAACGTTATTAAAATCTTACTTGGAAGATAATATCTTAGACGATTCACGCAGGAAAAGATACAGTTTCTAAGCTGATTGTGCCTTTAATAACAGGAACTCGTTAACTTTCAGTATACCATCTAACAAATTCATTGCACGAGGCTGAATCCGGCTTACTTCTCATGTTGCCTTTATTTCAGTCAAACTTCCTTGGCCGCGTGGTAGTGGATGGGATCTTGCTGGTGGACACACCGGTCAATCTGTACGCTACCGGTCGGTATAACCACGCGGACCTTCTCCTTGGTACCAACAAAGATGAAGGCACGCTGTCCCTGGTTTATACTCCTCTATTTTCGGACTACTGGACTTCGGAAGAACCTCCAACTTTGAGCAGAAAGGATTTCGATGAACTTCTTTTGCTCAGTAAGGATTTCGTCCTGTTAAAGAAAAACGACTCCTCGATAAGACCGAATGCTTTAGTACCGATACTGGTATCGGTATCGGAGAATTGTTTCTTACCAAGTTCAATAAATGTCGTGAAATTGTCTAGGAAGTGGAGATTCTTCACTGCTTTGAACCTCCTCCATAAGTTTCAAGGAAAGTGTCTGTATTGTACCACCGGCCTATCATACTGTAGCCTTTTGCCCTCTTTTTCAGGTTGTAACAGCCAACAACTGCAGAACGCGGTACGAATGCAGTACGTAGACTGGTCCCAAGCTGACAACGGAGACCACGACTACTTCCGAGCCTATGTGGAATACGCGACGGATTTCGAACAAGCTTGTGGAACCGACCAAGTGGCGCGTTTCCATTTCCAGGGGGGTGACATCGTCTTCTTGTATCAGATGACACACGTGCCTAGCGTGTCTATCTTCAGTTTGGTGGACGGACCCGGTTGGATGGGCAGCGGTCACGGCGAAGATATCTCGTTCATTTTCGGCCTTCCCTTTCTTCCAGAAACAGCGGCGCTGTACTCCGGTTTCTCGGACCAAGAAAGAGCACTGTCTGTCGAGTTCATGAAATTCTGGACCACTTTTGCTAAGACAGGGTGAGTTTTACCAACAACGTTTGGTCTTCTTTCGTGCTCAGAGCATATGTTAGATTGTAAAATCACTTACAGAACACTTGTACTGACACCTACAACTAGCTACATAGCTTATATGATACCTTGATCAATTTCAGCAAATGAGCATCTGATCTAGCCTCCGTGCCATTCTATTTCGCGCGAGATCGAATGCAGCGGTAAAACGATCATTTGATTTCGTTTTAAGACTAGACAGAAGTACTATTGTGTCATTCGATTTAATAAAAATTATCACCCAAATTAACAATTCAGCTGGCGCTTTTTCTCTGAGCTCTAATAATAGAGATGGAAGATTTAGTCACATGCCCATTCTCTCGGACAGAAATCCCAGCACGAAGACACCTGGCTCTCATCCAGAATCTGAGTTAGATTTCTGGCCTCGGTTCACCGTCCCTGAGTTGGAGTACAAGGAACTCAGCTTGAATCTGACCACATCCAGAGCACTCAAGAGCGACCAGTGTTACTTCTGGAATACCTACGTACCGCAACTCCAAACCATGTTCGGTAAAAACACATATGTTAGCGAACATAACACCGCTAGATTTGACTTTCAGAGCATTGTAAATCGTGATGAAAAAAAAGAAAAAAAAACACTTATTCGTCCTACTTATCGTCACTTTGGCCTCACTCCGTTAATGACATTGAATCGGAAAAGTAAATTCTTTTTTGTCGTTCATTTTACAAATTAAATCATTCAATGTCGTCAAAGAATGTGGCGTAAAGACGGTTTCAATTAGCAGTTATTTGGAGTTCATATTTGGTGTGATTCGAAATTGACTAAGAAAGAATAGGCCGAAGAAATCAGGCATCCTAATCACATAACTCACTGTTATTTGACTTTCTTTTGTTAATTAGATTAAGGTCCAATACTTTGTTTACAAATTTATATCATTGACGAAATTGAATGATAAAATCAGTAAAACGAATGACAAAAACAAATTTGCTTAGTTGCTTTTCCAATTCAACGCCATTTCCGGAGAGAGACGAAAATGACGATAAATAGGAATAAGTGTTTTTGTTTTTTTTTTCGTGATTTACAATGCTCTGAAAAAGAAATCTAGCGGTGCTATTTCGAAATTGAAATCAACATTTAGGGCAAATTGACTCTTCTTTGACGAAATTAAACTTTCGGTTTTAAGCAGTTTTAAATGAAAGAAGTGCCAAATTAACCAGGAAAACCTACATGTTTCTTCTTTGCAAAGCCGACATGGATGTTGCAGAACGTGAATGGAAAGAAGCCTTCAGTACCTGGAAGTACACTGACAGGGCGGATTGGAGGAAGGAACTGGCCGAATATAAGACACTTAACGTAAATTAATTGGAAATTTAAGATGAAAAGGAAAACATTAACATGAAGCTAATTCTGTCAAGCGTTTGGACTTATTTAGAATTTTACATTATACAGTTTGGGGTGTTAAAGTTTTCAAAACAGACAAGACATAATTGAATGCCCCGTTTGCAATGGGGCTTTGAATTCCTCAGCAACTGAATTTCGGTAACAATTGTTAATTTTCTGTCAGTAACATGCATGTGCCTGTCTTTTCATGCATGTTTCCTCCCTTGTCAAACGGTAGGCTAAGAGACTAAAGAAGTATGAATTGTGTAAATCAACAACAGCATTCCATTGGACGTAATTTGAAAAACATTTTCCTGTATGAAGGGGACTAATTTAAAAAGCAGTAGTTCGCATGATATGTTAATTTCTTCGCAGGCCTGTCAAAAATGTAACTGATTTCGACATAATCGTTATTTGAATTAAATTCACTGCCTGTTAGATATTTGGCTAATTTCTTTCATTTTTATCCACAAATTCATTCTCGTTTTAGAATTGCTACCCTGATATGATTTAAAGTTTTGTTCAATAGCCATTAAGAATTTTAATTCAAGTTTCAAATGAGCCAGCTTGCATGCTTTGCGTCTGCGCAAGCTTCACTTGATTGACAAAGCCTCACCTGAGAATATAGAATAGAAGGGGCGTTGTGGCATTGGGGGCGAAAAACGACCATTCGGAATGGTGGTTTGTGCACAAACGACTTTGGGACAAGGCTGAAGCCGAGTAACTCTTTGTTTGTCGGTAGTCGTGGCGCGTTTCTTTCACAACATTTTGTGAAAGTCATTTGTCCTTTCAATTCAAGCACCCTAGCACCCCAGTATCCGCCCCGACCAGAAGCACCCCCCCCCCTTCAGTTGAAAAGAGGCGTGGTAGTCAGGAGTATTCATTTCGTTAGTAGTGATATGACTGACGCACTTGCGTTTCCTAGTCGTTCGTGAACCGGCGATCCGCAGTTAGTACCAAGGGTGCAGTCTACTAACTCAAGTGAGAGTTTCAGGCTAGCTCATTAGCACTAAAAGTGCCCACACAGTTTCTTTTCAAAAGGAGATTTTTTGGCCTTCAATATAGTGAGATTGAGTAAATCTTTGCCAGAATTAACTCCTTGGGGCTTTCATATGAGAGCATAATGGCTAAAAAAATACGGTTAAGCAATATTCCATAAGTTCCCGAGAAAGTTGAAGGTTTCCACTCGAAAAATGGCTGCAAACAGACTTCAGAAAAATCACTTGGAGGGTAATTTTGTTTTGTGGGAATAACTCAAAATGTAACCTGTTAACCAATAGAAAATTGAAAAGAAACTAAAAGATCAGGGACCATACAATAATTTAACGTGTGTTTCAAATACCTCAGGAATGTTGATACGCATGTTATTGGGCCTTGAACAATGCCGATTTTACACTGTTTTCAATTGGGCTTGAATTAGTGGACTACACACCGAAGGAGCCTCCCTTGGTAGGGAAATGGCGCCCTCTCCTGGTCCAGCTCGAAACCCATAAGGACGGCGGAGGACTGTACAGATACAGTGAACAATTCAGCGCACAAAAATAAGTACATTTATTGACAAGGTCGATGCAAGGAACTGTATTTTATAGAAACACATCCTGTATGTCTACTCATAAATGTATGGAAACTATTTGACGTCAATTTCAATTCACTGTAAGTGCACCATCATCACGCATAATTTTCTTACTTGTGGGACAACTGAGGGCGTCATTGCTGTGATGTCATTCTAGCAAGACACTGCGTAGCTTAGTAAACATGTGGTGAAGACCAACTTGGGTCAGAATTTATCCTTGGAATTTGTTTCATTAATTTAATTTCTTGGCTATGATTGATATAGATATAATACAAACGTCATTCTTCCCAGCAGAGCTTTTTTTGCTCATTTGTAATGGGGAAGAGTTTAGGATGGTAATCATTTCAGTTTTTACAATTTTAAAAACAGAAAATTAACCTTTATATTTTAAATCGTTTATTTCTGAATACAGACAAAAATAAGTGCGTTTGTTAAATAAAAAGTATTTGAGGGGAGAGAGAAAAATCTATTTATAAAGAAGTACAGCCTCGGACAATTAAAGAAATTATTTCCGTTTGTACTTCCATATCAATTCACATTGACTGTTTTATACTCGCTGAATTCCTTCCTCCAATCCGCCATGTCTGTGTACTTCCAGGTGCTGAAAGCTTGTCTCCATTCACGCTCCGCAACGTCCATGTCAGCTATGCAAAAATATAAAAACTTCATAAATTCTTAATTTAACACAATGACCCCTCCCTCAAGTGTCGTTGCTCTTTCAGGTACTTAAAAGTCTTTTTTTTTTAGTAGAACGTTGAAAAGTTCTGTCCTTGAAATGCCTAACACTAACAGATAACGCATTTCTTTGGCACCGTTGACAGGAAGGATCAATGTAAAATATTGGAAAGATTGACTAAACCGACATGTGTTCTTACCGAGCATGGTTTGGAGCTGCGGCACGTAGGTGTTCCAGAAGTGGCAGTAGTCGCTCTTGAGTGCTCTGGATGTGGTCAGATTCAAGTTGAGCACCTTGTACTCTAACTCAGGGACGGTGAACCGAGGCCAGAAATCTCGCTGAGACGATGAATTGGAGCCCTGTGCATTTTTGTTGGGAATACTGTCGAAAAGAATGGAAATCGCCTCAATGGCGTATAGCCGAGGGGTGGGGGCTGTCCCCCTCCTTGGGAGCTTTTGTGTCTTACTGCCACCCCAACTTCAAAGACTGGCTACGCTCTGCCTCTCCGAAATTATGGCATCGATCTGTTTGTTATTAGGCAATAAAGAGATTTGCATATGGGGACAATTGGTCCGTTGATCTGGGGTAACATGTAAACAGCATTAACACTGGCAGGCTTACTCTTGCAAGTCTACTCAATGATAAAATTCCTTGTAAATTCAAGACAATTATTGGGTTTATAGGAGGCGACATGAATATTTTTTCACATCAAAACTGTTTCGTTACAAAGAAAATCGTATTACCTTTTCAGACGCATGGCCAATAAATAAGAAACTAACCCTGTCTTAGCAAAAGTGGTCCAGAACTTCATGAACTCGACCGAGAGTGCTCTTTCTTCGTCCGTGAAATTGGAGTACAATGCTGCCGTTTCCGGAAGGAAGGGAAGACCAAAGACAAATGATATATCTTCAGCGTGGCCGCAACCAAACCAGCCGGGGCCACCTCCTCCTAAGTTGAACAGCGACACGCTTGGTACGTGTGTCATCTGATACAAGAAGACGTTGTCGCCCCCCTGGAAATGGAAGCGTGCCACTTGATCGGTTCCACAAGCGAAGTGGTAGTCGGTCCCAAAGTCCACATAGGACCGGAAGTAATCGTGATCATCGTAGTCAGCTTGGGACCAGTCTATGTACTGCATTCGTATTGCGTCCTGAATTTGTGGGCTTGCACCTGAAAACAGAGACATAGTCTGCTGAAACGGCGTCCTATATTTTCAAGAAAACCGCCTGCTGTTTACAACGGTGTATTCAACTGTTTCCCAAAACTGTTAATCTAGTGTTGACTTTTTGTAGGGAATTTAATTCTTTTGTTTCCTTTTCAGTTTTTCAAAGCTCACATGTTGTGGTCTACATTTAAAAATCGTTTCTCATGCTTGGGTGGTTAACTTCTACAGTAACTGGAAATGACACAGCTTACCTCATACACTGCCTACAACACTTACGAGGAAACAGGTACAAATTATGGTTCCCCCCGTTTTAGAACAACCCCTCCTCTTTCCCACATACCACAGTTTGAAATAAGGCGGGCTTTTGGGGGGGTTCTTCATTGTTGAGACTTACAATTAGTTCTTACCGAGATAGATGTCACTAGCAAGAAGTTCATCAAACTCCCTCCTGCTCACTTTTGGAGGATTCTTTGAGTTTAAGTAATCGATGAATCGAGGACTAATAAGGAGAAACATGGTTCCTTCATCTCTGTTTGTTCCTATTAGAAGGTCAACGTGATTGTACCGCCCGGTAGCGTAGAGATTTATCGGTGTGTCCACTAGAAAGGTCCCGTCAACTACAACCGGACCAAGGAAGTTCAACTGTGTGTAATGAAACAGGAGAAACAATGATATCAACTGGATTGAGCTCTGACCGATGTGACTTGTTTCGGTTAAGTTGCACCATTCGTATGTTTTGTAACTAAAGAGTTGGCAATTAAACCTACAACAGAGACAAGTTTTACAATCAGAGTTTTTACTCACCACCCTTCAAAACACTGTATATTATTCTACTTGAAGCAATCTTTCCAACTACATATAATAGATGTGTTTATAAATAGGTGCTTTATTAGTATTCCAGTGAGGTCAAAGTTTACTGCATCTGCCGCTTCGTAGAGATCCCGTGCGTCCTTGTCTCTCAGGCACTTTACCAGGGCCTCGCTCTCAGAGTTGCTACAACCAAGCCTCTTGCCTATGTCGAACGCCTGCTTACGAAGCATGTCTTTGTCGTCAGAAAAAGCCCACGGCGACATCAATGTGCCACTCTGAAATTTGATTTTGAAAAAGGGGTCTCACTGAAAACTATAAATTATCTCAGTGAACAGATTCTGTCCACTGATGCAAGATCAAAGGAGACATTCCTTTTAAAAAGAGATTTTCTTAAACTCTGAAGGAGTCTGCATTCGGACCATCTTGCAGATAGGTTGAGATTACATCCCTTACTGATGAAAATCGTACACCCATGCTTCAGATACGTCTGGCTTTTCCGGAAGGTTAGGCTACCCGTATATTTGGGCACTTGGCCTAAAAATCACCTCCTTAGCGTCATTTTTTTTAAATAATGTTCTTTATCTCGAGGAGAGGCATGGCTTCTGATGCCCTCATCTATCCTTAGAGACAATAATGAGAAGGGTTCATTAACCTTTGTAGAAAGTGTTACTTTACCTCCATTATAGCTCGGTTGAACAAACCCTGGGAGCGTTCAGACAGCAGGTGACTACCGACACTAGCAGATCCTGCACTTTCACCGAAGATAGTGATACTGGAGTTGTTTCCACCGAAAGCTTTCGACAATGAAAACGGAAGATATGTAAAGAACAGTCCCTAATTTGCGACTGGTAATATGGCTTAAAAACAATCCCCAGACCTCTGTACCGAAATAATTATGCTTGTTGTGGAATGGGCACTACATTGCAACGGTATACGGAAAAGTTAATTAAACACAAAGTCTTATTCCAAGTTACATCAAAGAGGTTCACACATGAAATAGATATTAGCAATAAGTATCAACGTTACAGGCTATCTTGCCGACACTACGGTCACCACCACACCAACACCTGTCACTTGTTTTTTTTTTTTTTTTTTTTTAGATTGGTTTGTTTGCTTGTTCCGGTTGTTGTCTCCAAACAAAAACGTTCATGCAAAATCCTGTACTAACCATCAATGTTTTCCTTGATCCATTCTAATGCATGGGCTTGATCCATTAGTCCAATATTGCCCGGTAAAGCTTCATCATCTGCCGGGAAATTACGAGAAAAATCGGTTACTCCCAATTTTCAATTATCTTGTATGATCCCTTTAAGATCACCGCAACTTGTGCAAAAAGCAATACAGGCTTACTGCAAGTAAATAGAAAGGAAACGGGGGTCGATGCTTTGTGAACCAAATTTAGGTTAGTTATCAGAAAGTAACATTTCATTAGTGCCAAAAACGAAGTAGAATTTCGTAAAAATTAGGAGTGGGTTTTTTCATTGGCAGTTTATACAAATGCTTTCAAAATCAATGCATGATTTTCAGTTATTTGCGATGTTTTTAGTCATTTTTAATAATATCTTATTACAAAGATATCAGATCCAAGTAAAATTAACATAACATACCTGTTGTCAGAAAGCCAAATACATTCAGACGATAATTGATGGTGACAACGATGACGTCACCTAAAGCAGCCAATGCCTGCCCACGATAGATCGATTCAACGCCTGATCCCTGCACGAAACCACCGCCGTGTATCCAGACCATAACAGCAGCGCCCCCTGGCTGCAAGAAAAAAATTCAATGCTGCCTAAAATATTCTGTGGACGCATAGGAGTTTTGCAGTTTAACTCGTATATAGGGTCTTGAGTAATCCACAAAAACAATGAACCTGGAGTGTCCAGTAGAATATTACCTTGCTAATGAATTTCTTCACGCCACATTGCAATGTCAAATCAGATAGATTAATGTCAGGCTTGCAGAAAGGCATCAAAGGACAAGCAGGGTCCCGGATTGTCATCCACTATTCACATTTTTCTTTTCATTTTTGGTGCAGCACGACCAAATCATTGAGGTGTAAACTATCTGTAGCATCAATACTCACCACGGCTGGTTTCGGTGCGAAGATGTTGAGATGCAGACAGTCTTCGCTTACAGGTGCACCGGCCACGTCTGATGGATCCTGCACGCAGGCGTCTCTGAAGTACGTGGCGTCGTACGTACCGTCCCACGGCCCCTTAGCCACCGGAGGCCTGAATCGCAGCTGGCCCACAGGCGGCTCAGCGAACGGTATCCCCTTGAAGACATCGATGGTCTTGTTCACGTTAATGAACAGGGACTCCTGGAAAGTCTCAGTGGTGCCGACAAGAATGCCTTGTTGTACGGTAACAGTGGGCTGGTTTTGAGCGGCCGATGGGGCCGTGAATGCCCCAAGTGTTACCACGTTGGTGATTAGTACCACCAAGTTTAGTGCAGCCATGTTTTTGTGACTAACTCTTCTTTTCGAAGGCTGCTCGGAGAGCAAACTCGTAAAGCTATATGCTCGACTGAAGCCGTTGGTTATCACTGGATTTAATCTCAATGCAAACATAATTTGGCATAACACCCAATGGTTTTGTTTGTTTAAGATACTAGGAATATTGTTATGGATGGATTTGAATGTTTCGGGAGGATACTTAAAGCCTACAACTTTAAATTAATAATAATAATGAACATTTATAAAGCGCCAGTATAAGTCGCGAACGGCGCTCATGGCGCTAATAAGCAAAGACATCCAATAATGATAAGTAGAGGAATATTAACCATCTGCCTGTCTATGCAAATATAAGATTTTAATCTGTCCTTGAATGTGTCAAGTAATCTCAATAGTCTCACAGATTCCGATAAAGAGTTCCAAAGTTTGGATGATGCAATCTGAAAGCTTCTCTCCCTTAACGATAATGAACCGTAGTTTTGTTGAGTAGATTGCTTTTGGATGACCGCAAAACCCGATGACCTGAGGCATAAAACTGGATAAGATCACCCAAATAAGCTGGAGCATCACCTTGTAAGATGATAAGACACAGTTTGTACCGGACTCATTGTTGGATTGGAAGCCAATGTAGGTCAGCTAACATTGAACTTACCGGTTTCAGAAGTTAAGTTAGACCTCCAACATTGTTCAAGTTGACCCCTCAACATTAATTTTTTTTTACCAAGCCAGGTTGAGCCCTGAAAAGCGGCTTGACTTGCACGGTGCCTAGACAGTGTAGTGTACAAAACAGAATATGTTCCCATGGTTTGGTGCACAATTTTGTCATTTTGTCACTGAGGGGAAGCCCAAGACAAATTGTAGACGTTTCTTACCAGAGAGTGACCTTACAAAACGTTGAAGATTTAAATTAAAATGTGAACATTAATACTCACGTTGGTTCTGACCATGCCTTGTGCGATCTTAGCCTCTGGTGTTGTGCGAGTTAAATATCCCTCTATTTTGGAGATTTCTTACGCGTGCTTGATTGACGTGAAGGAAAATAATTGTGGCAAGACAATCGTATCAGTCAGCGCATTGCATAAAAACCAGCGCAATGCATAATGCACGCAATTCCGTGTACTGCTCGTCTGGGAGCTGTACACATTTGACTGACCTATGACACGAGTCATACCGCTCCTCCCTATTTTCTTCTTGCATAGTATGGCGGTCGTGCCGACACAATCCCCCAGGTCGTCCTCGGCCGACGTCTGAGGCAGCCAAGGGAGCAGACCCGTTTTGGGGCAGTCAACCGCCAGGTGCAGCAGGAGAGCAGCACAGGCGCTCACTGGGGTAGAGGACAGGGTGGGACACAGGGGTGCACCCTAAACACAAACGGACACGTCTGCCTAAGTTGACTCTGGTTTTATTAATAACTCACACCTTTCGAGGTGCTACTAATGATGCGACCTCCACAGGCCCTGGCAATCTCCTAGACAGGTCTTGGCCCATATGCGGGTCGTGATCCCTACACAGGTGTTAGCTACGGGTACTGCAAGTTTTACATCCATCAAATTCCCCGTAAGACTACCGCCCCGTGGATGGAGTTCCCCGTATAAATTTGTCCCCAGATGATTTATACTAACTGTAATTTAAGTCTAAAGATCCAAGTTAGGCAGGCTTGCGGTTGCACCATGCACAAGAAAATATCTCTTTATGGGTGTGTGGGGTTCTGAGAAGAACTGATGGTGGACACTCGATGTTCCGAACAGTATGCTTTGTTCGTCTTCAGTATCTAAAGATCCCAGTAAGTCGCTTACTAACGGGTACAGCCTAGTGGCTGTCCGTTAGAGACTGTGTGGGAGCAGTAAAACTAACTGGGACGGCGCCGGAAATACGATGGAAGATGGGACTAACGGCTAAGGAACTTACTAGCTCGGCGCGCGACCGCGCTTATATATCGCGCGGGCCGCAAGCCTGGTGCATTGATTTGTTATAGAGATCGGTGGCCCGGCGCCACGAGCCACAGCGCCGCCGACGTCAGGCTATAAGCCCTGAGCCTAACTACGACGGCTCAGAATTAACACGCAAACTGCTATTGCTCCCCTGCCACAATAGTTTTGTCGCTTTTTGCGTACCAACACGACGTCCCGTGATCTTGCTCGCACAGGATTAGCCGTCAAAGCGGTAAGTCAACTGAATGCTTTTTAATAGATGGAATCGACACTCTTCATACACAGCCATGGGCAGCAGTGATCTCCGTTTGTTCAGGGTGCCATGCCGTCTTCCGCAATGTTTCCACCTTATCTTTCCCTGAGGGGGGGGGGGTGTTCTTGTCAGTGCGATAATTTGAGAGATACTTCTGCGTATAAAACTTCAGATTTGGTTTGTTGGTTGCTACTTATCATGAAAAGTCTATTCCATGTTGGGTTGAAAGGTCAAAGTTATAATTGCTAAAACAAACGACATCTCGTAAGCCCAATTTGAGAAGTTCAATGTTGGCTTGAGCGTTCTTTGGTTAATCCGCAAGCCTCTTGCATGAAGCGTGAAAGTCAAGGAAAGGATCAAAATTGCCAAAACACTGATACTTTTTTGGGTGATACAAAAATCATAAATCCAAAACCCGTTGGTTTAGGCATGGGTTTGGAGGAGGCATTTTGTGCTTTTTAACGTTTCACTCTTGTTTTTGCTTTTACGCGCACGCATTTGATCTAAACACATTTGATTGGATGAGATCACAAGGACCAGTAGCTTGAATATCGTTCGGCGTTGGGGCTGATATTGTTACCGCACGATCACACACCTCGTCTTAAACCTAAAATGTATGAATTGTGTCGCTTTAGTCTTCCGTTGGTCGGTTGTCACTGTTTTAATGTATACAACGTACCGATCTCAAACACCATTTTTTCTTTACCTTGTAATACCAAAGTGTTCTTTTTGCAAAAATGGAATCATAACTATAGTGTCCAACTTGGCGAGGAAACGTTGTATCAAGGTCGGTTTATATTTCATGCGAAAGCAAACGAAGCTGCGAATTTGTCAGGTCTGATCAAAGATTATTGCTACGAATTCACAAAAGTTGAATACATTTTAACTCAAGCGAATTTTTGCTGCAAATCTTTCGTGAAGGCAAATTCGCTTCATTTTCACATTCGCCTGCAGTACGAGCAGGTGTGAAGGTTAGGTTTAAGAAGGGCGCTGGGTCTGGTTCAAACGTTTTTAAACTTACTATAAAATTGAGACCACATCCTGGTACGTGATCTTGAGAAAGTCTTAATTACGAAAGATGAGATGAAACAGAATGAAGCAAACAATTAAGCTCGCATGATAATGAGAAGGTCTATACCAGGAAGTGTATTGGATACACACTTTGTGCAGCTGTCTACCCTGCAAGCTTTTTGATATGGTGTGCTATTTACGACACACATTTCTACCTCTCTCTAGGCTCTTTGAAGGCAACACAACTACACGGCTCGACGGCTCCCTTGCGACGTGCCATTGCGTCGCAACGTCGCCTACTTGTCATACGTTTGTACACACGCAACGCGTCGTGTCTTGCTGTCTTACGTCCACTCCTTGTTGCACTGTTTTCTGCCAAAACGTCGCTCCTTCTGTCGCCCATTACGATTTACATTTTGTTTTGTGCTAGCTGGGACAACTGAGGGCGCCGTTGCTGTGATGTTATTCTGGAGGAAGATACAGGTATAACTATAGGGTTTTCTGTATACAAATGTCGAACCCAAAAAGTCGGTCATTTAGAGCATATTATGCAAAAAGGTTTGCACATTGCTTATTGCCATGTACTTAAAGACACTCAGCGCTATCCCGACCACTATTTCTCGTTCGAAATTATTGCAAGCAAAATTTTATTTTAGTCTTTTTATCAGGACTTCAATTTTTGGGCTAAATAATACCGTCATGAACACCAATACCATTCACTAAAATGCATTCTTGCGATGAGCTAAACTGCAAAAGTCCAAGCAGAACTGTTGCTGGTAACTTGTAACGAGAAAGAGTTTAACCTTCAAAGAGCTGGGTCATTTTGCCCATCTCACAGTCAGGGGAGGAATTCCATCTCCCCTAAGAACTCAGCTTTACCTTAGTAAACTTGATTTTATTTTTAAACTTGACGCCCCTTATCATTATAAATGTGAACTCAATCAGATGTATGGCTTTGTTTTTATTGTAATTTGAAGTTCAAAGCTACATCTGTCCCAGCTCGCGCGCGTGCATTGAACACCGCAGTTGGCTGACCCGTCTCGGAAAAACGCACTGTGAAAGAACAGTAAGTTCGATTTTTACAAAAAAATATCAAAATGAGAGCAAAGAGTTACTCTAAAAAGATGCACTTCGGCGATATCGAAAAAAAGCAAGCCCCCCTTTTAGGGTTAAGATGGTAATCACTTCATTTCTACAGTTTCAAAGAGGGAAAATTAAAAATCAGATTTTGAAATATTAATTTTTGAATACAATTAAATTAGCAAGTTTTTATTCTAAAACGTAAAGAAACAATTATAAAATTAACCACATTAGCTCAGAAAGTTTAACAAATTTGCTTGGAATATATTTGAGGAGAGAGGGAAAGTACAGCTTTGAACAATTATAGGAATCGAAATAACAAGCTTAGTTTATTAACTTAATCTGGTTAAGACAACAATAACAACAGCATGTTTCCTTTTTACTTCCATATCAATTCACATTGACTGCTTTATACTCAGTGAATTCCTTCCTCCAATCCACCATGTCCGTGTACTTCCAGGTACTGAAGGCTTGTTTCCATTCACGCTCCGCAACGTCCATCTCATCTATAATGGGAAAATATGAAAACTTTATGCTTAATCTGGGACCCAAAATCAAATATTTAATTCCTTCTTTTTGTGTGTATTTCTATAAACCTTGTGAATGGAAAATCCTGTCCTCTAATTTCTAGCAGGTAATGGCTTCGTTACGGTGGCGTCGTTGACAGGAAGGATCAATGTAAAATACTGGAAAGATTGACTAAACCGACATGTATCCTTACCGAGCATGGTTTGGAGCTGCGGTACGTAGGTGTTCCAGAAGTGGCAGTAGTCACTCTTGAGTGCTCTGGATGTGGTCAGATTCAAGCTGAGCACCTTGTACTCTAACTCAGGGACGGTGAACCGAGGCCAGAAATCTCGCTGAGACGGTGGATTGGAGCCTTGTGCGCGCCTGTCCGGGTTACTGTTCGAAAAAATGGAACATCGCTTGAATTATGGCATCTATATCAATTTTTTTCCTCAGCAAAAAAAGCACGGGAAAAGGTGAAGATCTATAAAAAAAAATGCCAGTCTTGCAATCTGAGGTTACAATTCCACATTATTAATGAGTAGCTCCAATGATTTTTCAATTATATACCCCCCCATGTCTCGATTAACATCATTTCCGACTTAAATCCCTTTTTCAAAGAGTTATTTGCTTACTCATGGGGTTTTCGTTCTAATGAATGGTCCACATTCATAAATCATAATGTAATGTCATCCAAGGAACAAAACCTAAATGTTATACTTCGGCTTGTGATCAAAAACTTGTAGTTTTAATATTTTAAAACTCTGCTCGGCTACATTTTCTCTCAGCTAGCAATCATTCATTCCTCAGAATTTTTTGAGTGGGTAAAGTCTGGGTTCACCATTTGAACAGAGAAGTCTACGCACTGAACCGCATCTTCTCCACATTACATCATGGCAACAGCGCCCTCAGTTGTCAAGGGAAGCATGGATAATTTCAATTTTTACACAGTTAAGTTTTCAATGCAGTTAAACCTAACGTTGACGCCAAATAGTTTTCATACATTGAAGAAAAGGTTGTTTTTCTCATAAAAGTCTGGTTTCGTTGTAAACACCAATTATTGCTGTCTTTAAGCGTGTAGCCTAAAAACAGTCAACTCACCCAGTTTTCGCAAAAGTGGTCCAGAATTTCATGAACTCGACCGATAGTGCTCTTTCTTCGTCCGTAAAATTGAAGTACAGCGCCGCCGTTTCCGGAAGAAAGGGAAGGCCAAAGATGAACGAGATATCCTCCCCGTGGCCGCAACCAAGCCAGCCGGGGCCGCCACCTGGTAGATTGTACAGGGACAAACTAGGCACGTGTGTCATCTGATACAAGAAGACATTGTCGCCCGCCTGGAAATGGAAGCGCGCCACTTGATCAGTTCCACAAGCGAAGTAGAAGTCTGCCCCAAAGTCCACGTAGGACCTGAAGTAATCGTGATCATCGTAGTCAGCTTGGGACCAGTCTATGTACTGCATTCGTATTGCGTCCTGAATTTGTGGGCTTGCACCTGATAATAAACGGGAGACATCAAAAACACTCAAATGCCGTCCCAATGTTGTCACTCGCGTCAGTATGAACTCCCTACTGTTTACATCTCAAATGAGCGGAACGTCAGTTCAGACGCAAATCTAGAAATGAGGTTGGGGCTTACTCCCCAGTTTTAAGAGGCCTATGTCTAATTAAAGGTCGGAAGACCCTCTGAAGTGCAAAAACCAAGACGGGGTCAGTGCTTGTACTGTGGGATTCCATATCTGCCGTCGCCTGTCGTGCGTCGCCTTTCGCTTTTTGTTGTGTCCCAATTCTGCCATTTACCAGTTCCAAACATGCCATTTTCCGCCGCCCGTCGTGCGTCGCGCGTCGCCCATCGTGCGTCGTCCGTCGTGCGTCGCCCGTCGTCCGTCGTGCGACAGATATGGAATTCCATATTGTCCGGTTAATGACGAAATTAAAAGGACTCAATGGCTCAACCAATGGCTACTGCAATAAGGAACTCAAAACGTCTATTTTGCTTTTGCCTTGCCCTTGTGCGTCTCGGCACATGGGTCTGCTTGCATCATACTATGGCCTGCAGTATTTCTGAGGCAAAAGGTACAAATAACGTATCTATGATATCTCTATGGTACAAATAATAAGCCCTCAGCCTTGCCAACGCGTCAGAGTCGTTATTCAAAGTTTTGGGGTATTAGGGAGTCAAAGGGTTTTTATGGGAATTTCTTAAATGATAAGAGTCAAAGTAGTTCTTTTTTACCGAGATATATGTCACTAGCGAGAAGTTCATCAAAATCCTTTCTGGTCACTTTTGGAGGCTCCTTTGAGTTGAGGTAATCCAAGAATAAAGGACTATAAAGGAGAAACAGCGTTCCTTCATCTCTGTTCGTACCCATCAGAAGGTCCGCATGATTGTACCGCCCGGTAGCGTAGAGATTCATCGGTGTATCCACTAAAAAGGTCCCGTCAACTACCACGGGGCCACGAAAGGTCGACTGTAGTGTAAAGGGAGGAATTAAGAAAGCAACCAGACTGAGCCGTGCATGATGTGCCTTGTTTTAGCTAAGTTGCCTTATCCACATAACATTTTAGTTTGAAGATTGAGAATTTCACCAAAATACACAAACAAAATCTAGGTGTCACACTGTTTACTAAGAACACTTCAAAGCACTTTATTTCATTCTAACTTGACGCGATCTTTCCAACTGCGCATGTGGTTTCAAGGTGTTCTATAGATATGTTCTACATGATTTATATTCGTAGGGTAAGTGCAAAACCTGTTATATAAATTACATATGTGGTCATGTTTAAAGGGTTACTTTATTGGCATCCAAGTGAAGTCAAACTTACCGGATCTGACGCCACGTAAAGCTCCGACGCGTCTTTTTCTCTCATGCAGTCAACCAAAGCCTGGCTCTCTGAGGTGCTACAACCAAGCCTCTCGCCTATGTCGAACGCCTGCTTACGAAGCATGTCTTTGTTCTCAGAAAAGGCCCACGACGACATCATCGTGCCACTCTGAAATTTGATTTTTAAAAAGGGTGTCACGGAGGACACTCTTGTCTCAGTGAATAAACACTGTCCTCTAATGTTAAGATAGACCATTAATTATAGCAAAATTCCTTTTTGAAAAGTGTTGTTCTGGAATTCTGAAGGAGTATGTTTTAGAACCATCTTTTTCACCCTTACTTGGTTTTCACCCTTACTTGGTAAACATTTTACAACCGCGCTTTTTATACTTGTGCAAGTTTTCTGCAGGGGGTTAATATTGAGTCCACGTGGAATATTGGGTTTTTTTTCTCTAAACATCTATAGTTTTTTTATTTTGTAAATTCAAACGTCAGTCCTCCCCTTCTGAAAGATGGTAGCACCGTTTGTTTAAAAATTCGCATTTATCAAGACACGACATAATTTTTCGATGTAAAAAACTCCCTTTGACATTGTGTGGAAAAGTGTTTTTGGAGGCAAGACCTGTCACCAACTCACGCAAGGGATAAGGGGTTTTTTGTTTCTAATAACTCCAGAAATGTACTCAATTTAATTCTGACCTTTTTAAAAGGCTATTTTTCTTGGAGAGGGGCATGGTCTCCGATGGCCTCCCGCCCCCACCCTTAGAGACAATCGTGAGAAGGGTGGCATTATCCTTTGTAGAAGGTAATACACTTACCTCCATTATGGCACGGTTGAACAAACCCCGGGAGCGTTCAGACAGCACGTGACTACCGACGCTAGAAGATCCCGCACTTTCACCAAAGATGGTGATACTAGAGTTGTCCCCGCCGAAAGCTTCCGACAGAGAAACGATTAAAAGGAGGTGTACAACCTACTGACTCTAAGAACTTTCAAACAGATGATTAACTTTGGGAAAACAGGCGAGCAAATCCTAAGGAAGATAATCCCTAATTTTTTATTAGGAGAGTGACTTACAAAGTAATCCCCGACCTCTGTACCGAAATAATATGCCACTTTGTGCAAGGCACACTGTGCATAGTTGAGGAGAGTCGGGCACAGTGGTTCTTTCCTCGCCTTCCACCTCTGCGGTCCAGGTTTGATTCCCGGCTCGGTGGATGTGGATTGGGTTTTCAGTCCGTACCTGATTACATGGGTTTTACCAAGAATATTCCTCTGGGGTTTTCCTCCCACCTCTAAAACTGTAATTGTGTCTCACTGTCTCCTATAGGTTTCTCCAGGCTTGCGCGCTACAGTGCCTAGAGCGCTTTTGAGGAATCCTTGGTTGTCACATGGTTATCATTACCAGAAATAATCATAATTAAGTTAGGTACAAGGTAATGCCAAGTTACAGCGATGAGTTTCATATATGAAACAGCTTCGACTAATAAGTATCAACATTACACCAGTTACAGGTTAAGGCCAAAGAAACTCGGTCTCTGGACAGACCAAGGTACCAGAATTGATTGGGCGATGTGGTTCTTATTTGGGGGGGGGCTTTTTAAGACTGGCAACGGAAATGAGTGGCATATATTTTGATCAAAGAGCAAAGGCTAGTAGTAGCACGTCGTGCGTCATGCCGCCATTGTTGTTGATCTCCTTGCTGCAACTTTGTAACCTACCCGTGGTCTACTGTTTGTGTTCGACATCAACATTAAGCAGTCGTATTAACGGATCTATCACCGGGTACGAGCTACCCACAAATTAGTCTGATTCCTTGAACAAATTGCCCTTTGGACTTGTGGCCGGGAATCAGTCTACTCGAGAACATTCAGGCGGTGCTGAAATAAAGGGCGCTGTTTTGAAAATGTTTGAGAAAAAATGGAAAAAAAATTGACGCGCAGGTTCAAAATCGACGCGTGCGCTGACCAGAGGCAGACTTTTTTTTTTTGGTGGGGGGAGGCTAACTCACCCACACTACTCAATTCACACAACACAGCTGCGCACAAGCTGCCCGACCATCATTTTTGCATGTTTTAATTTGGCATATACCTGTTCCGATTGCTGCTTTTGAACAAAATAGCTTTTATAAGCGCACAACAATCCTTCACTAACCAGCAATGTTTTCCTTGATCCATTCTAGTGCAAGGGCTTGATCCATTAGTCCAATATTTCCTGGTAAAGTTTCATCATCTGTAATGAAAAGAAATTGATACTCCCGATTTTAAATTTACTAGGATCCGTTTCAGATCGGTAGGATCCGTTTAAGATGACTCAGTGAATTGTGAAAAAAACAATAAAAGCTGAATGCGCATAGAAAGGAAAAGGAGGTCACTGTTTTGTGCACAAATTTAGGTTAGTTTATAGTTATCAGCTATTAACACTGAAAACAAAGTGGAATTGCGCGAAAAAATACTGAAATGTGTTGTTTCACTGAAAACTTGTACAAGTACTTACAAGATCAATCTATGATTATCAGTCGTTTGCATTATTTTGGTAGTAAATGTATATATTTTTAAAGATGTTAGGTCCAAGCAAATTAAACACAACATACCTGTTGTCAGAAAGCCAAACACATTCAAACGATAATTGATGGTGACAATGATGACGTCACCTAAAGCAACCAATGCCTGCCCGCGATAGATCGATTCAATGCCTGATCCCACCACGAAACCACCGCCGTGTATCCAGACCATAACAGCAGCGCCCCCTGGCTGCAAGAAAGAAACAAATTCAATAAATGCTGCTTGTTGAGATTAAAATATCACTCGGCGAGCTTCGGGAACCCCCGCGCGGTAGGTCTATAGGGATTTTACATTGGGTTGTCCTATAGAGCCACCCTGTAAGAAACACTGATGTCGGAATGTTACATTTGTGTTCCTTTAGTAACATTTTGGAAAAGCCACCGAGAGACAGCTAAGTACAAATTCACTATCGACCTTTCGCTTCTGGCGATGAGCCTCGAGCTAGACCGAGAAACTGCGCAATGATCTTAGCAAGGGGGGCTCCTTTGGTCGGAATTGAATTTCGCTGGTTCAAGAACTACTTTGAAATGCACGTGTTGCATTCCCAAACAAAATGGCTGTTTTCAACCGTTAAAGGGTTGCTTATAATAATAATAATCTGTTCATTTATAAAGCGTAAATTTCATATAGATATGTTCAAATGCGCTGTACAATGAAAACATTAAGCGTAGAACAATGAATACATTTATGCATGGTTGAGCCGATGGCGTACAAGGGCGCCTCGGGCAGCCGCCAAACGACCCACATTCACCTGCTTCTGCTCGAGGCGGATATCGTTCCTAGGTTTCCTTGTGCACGTTTATTTTTGCTTAAGGAGCTGATATGAAAACGAGACTGTACAACGTTGCAAAGATTTCCTACCTGCCATTGATGGGTTCTAGAATTAGCCGAATCGTCCTTGCCGGCAACAGTAGCTTAAACTTACGAGGCTTTCGTAAACGCAGATTATGCCTGTAAGTTTTTTTTTGACTGCCCGTACCATATAACAATGTCGTGACTGTTCATGTGAGTACTGCATGGTCTTCAACGTACCAGGGGACAGCTTCCAGCTTTTTTTTGGGGGGGGGGTTGAAGACGCATATACATTGTCAAATTTTGCAGTTAAAGTCGTATCCATAAGGTCTGAGGTATTACACAGAAACAACGGAATCTGAAGTGTCCAGTGGAAAGATGATGTGTGTTAAAGTGGATTTGTTTGTAAAATTCCTATGATATATAAGATACACGCATGATGCAAGTTTTGAATGTCAGGTTTGCAGAAAGATCGCATAAGCAGGATTCCCAGACTCAAGCATAGTAGGCCTATGTTATTCATTGTCGTTCACCATGGCTCCTTGGTTTCACCTTTTCAGCAGTTTGGCCACCCTTTTGCTACACAACACAACCAAATCATCAAAGTTCAAAATATCTGTAGCATCAATACTCACCACCGCTGGTTTCGGTGCGAAGATGTTGAGATGCAGACAGTCTTCACTTTTTGTTGCACCGATCACTTGCGATGGATCCTGCACGCAGGCGTGTCGGAAGTACGTGGCGTCGTACGTACCGTCCCACGGCCCCTTAGCCACTGGGGGCCTGAATCGCAGCTGCCCCACGGGCGGCTCAGCGAACGGTATCCCCTTGAAGACATCGATGGTCTTGTTCACCTTGATGAACTGGGACTCCTGGAAAGTCTCAGTAGTGCCAACAAGCGCGCCTTGTCGTACTGTAACAGTGGGCTGATTTTGGGCGGCCGATGGGGTCACAAATGTGCCATAAGTTACCACCACTGTAACTAATACTGCGAAACTAAGTGAAGCCATGATTGCTGATAGGCACCTCTTGTCGAAGGCTATTCGATGAGCAAACCTGCATGATCGACTGTCCAGAGCCACTGATTTATCAGTGAGAATTACTGAACTTTAATCTCATCGTGAATATAAAACGTAAATACCATATGGCACGTGAAATTTGTTTGCTTGTAATACTGGGAATATCGTCATGGATGGATTTGAATGTTTTATGAGCAGACGGTGCTAACCCAGCAGTAAACATCGTTCATTTTTATTTTGCTGAGCTTGGTTAGGGATGCCGTGAACTTAACTCTTAGCCTTGCAAAGTGCTTGGTTTACAAAATAAACGATTGCCTTGGTTTTATGCACATTTGTTGCAAGGGAAATCTTACGAGTTTCTTATTGAAAAGTGATTTCAAAAAACGTTGAAGATTTAAAATGCGAACATTAATTTTTAGATTGTTTGCCTAAATATAAAAGGGCTGGTAATAGCCGCTATCACGAGTCGCGACTTATAATTAGTATGAAGTTAAAAAGGCCAAAACATGGATAATGGCAGCCCAAAGGAAGAATCGAACTCATAAAGTTTTAGACCATGTCAGCTAGTCCATGACTTGAAAACACGAGACCGTTTGCTCCATGAAAGCATACCTAACGAGAATGTTGGCCAAAAAGTATTGTCTCAGCGCGTTGTCTTTGAAAATCGCTCAGGTTTCTTTACAGACTGGCTTTCGCCATCATGCAGTTTGTCCGCCCTCAATTTACAATTCGATAATACGCCTTTGTATGTGATATCTTAGGACAGAATTCCGTGCACAGATCGTCTATTTGTAAATTTGCCTGACCTTTGACACAGTACCATACCGGCTATACCAGGCACGAATTGGACAGAGGGGTACCCCCTAACAAGTCCAATCCTATGCACACTCCAGCCAATTGTCACTTAACACGTCCCCCCAGATATCCGAAAAGAATTCCCGTGGTACCAGTATAACAATGACCAGCACAAATGCGGGGGGGGGGTTCTCTCTGTCTCATAGTTTGCTTCATATGATACTGGCGTCTTTATGTACAGACTCCCAAAATCCTGTTTGCACAGGATTACCTGTGACGTAACTGAACACTTTTAGAAAGATCGCAGAATAAAAGCTTCGTCACTCTTTACACAGGGTCGTGGCCTGCAACGGCCTTCAGTCGTTTTTCTGTTTTTACGCCCACGCATGTGATCTTAACACGCGACTGCAGTCTTCATGATGACTTCATTGCATGAAACCTGATACAGGCCTTCGGGGTGTACCACTACAAATAAATTCCCATGAACAGCAGTGATAAATCCCCATACTTCACAAATATTTTTAAAATACTCACAACTCTCACAGGTGTTCAGAGTGCACAGAAAAATGATGTTCCACATGTCCTCTTTCATTTCCCTTTAATTTTCGGGGGGTTGACCAATGAATTTTGAGAAATTTTCACCAGGAGCAGACCGCCCTTGAAATGAAGAAAATGTCCCTGGGAGTCCAGAAAAGTAGCCATTTTGAAAAACAATCCCTCTGCAAAATGGCTCAAATAGGGCCACTTTCGGACCCGATTGCATCCAAATTGCTCAGAATTGGAAGCCCTGAGTCCGGCCCAGAGGTTCAGTCTCATATTTCTTCAATTCCCCAGTTCCATGGCTCTCAAGACCCTCTAATATAGAATCTTTTATTAATGAGCTCGGCGGACATATTTCTGGCCCAAATACAAGGTTGCACCCTTCGGTGCCGTCTACCGAATGATCATACACTTCAGGGCTTACCCCCAAATGTTTTTTTTTTAAGTTGTGTCCTTTGCATTTGCTTTTCGTTGATTAAGTTTTACAAACAGTGGTGTTTCTTTCTGTTATCGTAAAAATAGCGTCATAACTACGCCAGTACAAATTTAAGACGTTGTAAATGCTCGACTATATCGAGGGAACTTTTAAGCCACACGAGTAATCTCAACCCCCAGAACAAGATTTTTTTCTTCATCCTCATTTTCCGGATGTTCTAGCTTCCCCCTTCTTTATGCCCATTACCTCATCAGTTTCTATTTATTCAAAATGATTTTATTCCTAAATAGTAAAAAAGTGTACCAGATAAAATACTAAACGCTCAAGCTGTTAGGAAATACACAGTGAAATAAAATTTTCGTGACGTCTAAGGAAAGAAAGGTTACTAAATAATCGTAAGTTCCTAGTTACTGAATTGATCCTATAACTAATCCCAAACGCAGGTATACTCATCAAGTGTGTAATTTCATCTCTCTCAATACAAGGTTCGCTATTTTGGATGTTGTGTCATTGAAACAAAACCTCTTGAAATTAAAAGCTTCTAAATGATCAATCTCGGGTATGAATAATATGAATGAATCATACGAGTACCTGTATTATGGGATGATTACGTCATTAAAAGTTAAATCATACAAACATTGAAGAAGTAAAAGCAAAAAGAACAAATCTAATCGCCCTAAACAAACGTGTTTGAACTAAATCGGGACCTGATAGGTATACCTCAACTGAAAAGGTTCGTCCCTATATACTTGAAGGTTTCCCATTAATTCATGTTAATTGCTTTATACTCGGTGAATCCCTTCCTCCAATCTGCCAGGTCCGTGTACTTCCATGTACTGAAGGCTTGTCTCCATTCACGCTCCGCAACGTCCAGATCGGCTGTGAAACAGATTGAAGAAAGACATGAAGGTAAAAATGAATGGTTACAATCGACTCCCAATCTGAGCACTCGGAATGCACGGTCTGGATTTCAGGTAAGCAGCTAGGTTTTAGGCAACCCGCTGTAGAAGGGCATGTTTGTTTTGTCCAGGTAGATTCACTGATTACCCTATGGAGACAATCGAAAGACAAGAGTCGATTTTCGATGTATTTAAACAGCAAGATTCGATGCTTTTTTCGTCTTTTTCACTGTCTCACTGTTTTCACATGTGATCTATTTTCGCTGTCCCAATGTTGTAGTTTTTAATCTATATTGTGGCTCGATTTGGCTTCTATCACGGCCCAAGTGTTGCTTTTAAAGCTCCCGCCGATTGTATTCTGCCACTCTCCACTTTCCTCCTTGGCTAATGTGGCTGCTAAAGTGATGTAAGCTGATGGTATCGTTTTAAAATGTAAGTGCAAAATGTTCAAAAACGTTCGGTGCAATTCGGATCCATCGGATCCATGGTGAAAACTATCATCAGGCTCGATATCTTACGCAACGACAGCGATTTCGAAAATGCCATTGAAACCAGTGATTATTCAGATTAGACAAGATTACCGAACGCTTAGTCATATCGTGATGAAGTTGAGATTTAATGGGGGACCAGACACAATGAGCTGGAATGATTGAGTGAGACATTACTGTTCCAATACCTAACATGGTCCTGAGCTGCGGTACGTAGGTATTCCAGAAGTAACACTGGTCGCTCTTGAGTGCTCTGGATGTGGTCAGATTTAAGCTGAGCACCTTGTACTCCAACTCAGGGACGGTGAACCGAGGCCAGAAATCTCGCGCGAACGGAGAAATCCCAGAGCTCGGGTTTCTGTTGATTAAAAGAAGACACATCGTTATTTTCTACAAAGGGCGGGTGCCATTGAACCGTCAGGGACTGTGAAAAGCAAGCAACGAAAGCTGCATAGCCGTGAGTCCAAAACAACGAATATAAAAACACAATATGATAAGAAAATACTGCATGAAAATGCCCACCATTGAAGACATGAAGGCAACATTCTGCATTTGGCACAAGATGTTGCCAACCAAAGGTGAACTTTCTCCACAATTTTGACTTTCCCGTATAAAATGGCAGCCAGTGTTTGTAAAGAAAAAAAAAAGTTCTAGACTCTAGCGTTCTCCATGGAGCCCGTTATACTCAATAATTAATTAAATAGTCGCTATGACCCTTGCCGGATGATTGGTACGAGCCAACAAGTTAATGGCAGCACGCCCTCATGTTTTTTATGAAAAAAATATCGTTCGCTCACCCAGTCTTCGCGAAAGTTGTCCAGAATCTCATGAATTCGACCGACAACATTCTTTCTTCATCTGTTAAGGCGGTAAACAGCGGCCCAAGTTCCGGACTGAGGGACGAGCCGAAGACAAAAGGAATATCTTCGCCATGGCCGCTACCGAGCCACTGTATGCTGTCTCCAAAAAAGAAGCTGAAGATTGACACCGACGGGACGTGTGTCATCTGATATAAGAAGACATTGTCGCCCCCCTGGAAATGGAAGCGTGCTACTTGGTCGGTCCCACAGGCGAAGTTGTAGTCTGTTGCGTATTCCACGTACGATCGGAAGTAATCGTAATCATCGTAGTCAGCTCGGGACCAGTCTGTGTACTTCATTCGGATCGCGTTGTGAAGTTGTTCATTATTTCCACCTGAGAAGGGAAAGATTTCCAGTGAAGCGTAATGTAAAACTTAGAAACAAACAAGCGGGCAGGCTTAATTTTTTGCTCACTCGCCTGCATGTTTGTTTGCTTGTTGGGCTGTTTGTTTGTGTTTATCCCCTTATCCAGCCACCAGCTTTCTCGTTGTCCTTTTGCATTCGTGCATATTTCGTTGATTTCCCGCTTGCTTGTTTGTCTCTGTCCACTTATCGTTTTTCCTTTGAGAAAGATTCTGCAAGGATCGAAACAGTGGCGTACCGGTATCCAGTGGGGGGGGGCAGGGGGACAACTTGCCCTCCGACGGAAATGTTTGCTGATTTTTTTTAACAAAGGATGGGAAAGAAAGTATTTGAAATTTTCTTTATCAAATATTAGCACCAAATCCCTAAGAAAACAACACCAGTAAATAAAAGCAAGGATGTCGGGACGGTGAGTAAGGCTTTTGATTTTGTTCCCCCCCCCAAACACCACGTTGAATGAGCCTGGAAACGCATTTGCTTTTGAATTTTCCCAACCCTGACACCAAAAGCTGGATAAGCCACTGGATCGAGCCCCTCCTACGTTTGTGACTTGTATTTTAGTTCACTGTAGCCATCGAGCAGTCTGCAGCAGTTTGTATTATATATGTTTACCTGTCTGTTTATTTGTCTGTTTGTTTGCCTGTCGTTTATTTGTTTGCTTGTTTATTTATTTTAGATAAAAAGCCCCTTTTCGGGTTATACGAGTACAGTTTCGGATGATTTTTAGCACTGCAAGTACTTTTCAGCTGCATTCAGATTCTTACCTAAGAAGCTTGAGAGCTCAAAAGAGACAATGTCATCGAAATCCTGTCTCCTGAAAGTGGGGGCTACCTCTGAGGTCAGGTAACTCTCAATGTTTGGAAGGTAGAGGAGGGGCAGTGTGCCTTCATCCTTCATTGTGCCAAGGAGAACGTCCGCATGGTTGTACCGACCGGTAGCGTAGAGGTTGGCCGGTGTGTCCACTAAAAAGGTCCCGTCAACCACCACGAACGAGCGGAAGGTTAACTAGAATTAGGTAACAGGGGGTTGAAAGAAGCAAAACTTATGGGGTCTTTTGTTTCACGCGGATCCGGATGGCGATCAGTAATCTGTCGTTGGTTCACTGACACAAGAACCCACTTAATGGATATATGAAACAAACAGGTCCCAAAAGATCAACCGTGCACCATCTGTTTTCGACAAAGCACACACCATGAAATGTTACTATAGTTACCTTACAACCAAATTTTAAGCGGACAATTTTTTTTCGGGGGTTGATGGGCCGACATTAGGAATATGTCTTTCATTCCAACTTTTATGGCTTTCAGCGATGCAACTTCTTTTACTCTAATTCAGAAAGAATGGGAACAAAATGGACCCAACAAACGCATTTCTCTCACTTTTTTCCAGCCTCGATCGTTGCCCCCCCCCATCAGCCTTTGGCGGCACAAAATAATGAAGCAAAAGGGTAGATCAAAAGAAGACTAATTACCAGGTCTATTCCTCCGAAGAGAGCTAAGGCGTCCTTATCTCTCAGGCATTGCACCAGAGCCTCGCCCTCGGCCGTGCTACAGCCTAGCTTCTCCCCTAAGTCTGAGATCTGCTGGCGAGGCATGTCTCTGTTGTCGGTAAATGCCCACGGTGCAAATGCTGTGCCACTCTGAAAACATTTCGTTATAATCAGGTGAGACACTAGGAGTCAATTTCACGAAGCCACTGAGGACACTGCTAGTCGCAAAACGTGCAAAACGACAGCAGCTAAGAGCTACATCAGAAATTACATTTTGATCGGTTCATAAGTCTGTCTAACCTTATGTGGATCCCTAATTTTGTTGCTTTTTTGTTTGATTTAAAGTGATGCTTTTTTTGTGATAGCTGCAGAGCAAATGTCGAAATGTTTCCAGTAATCAGCCAAAGGAAGCTCACCTGTAGTACAGCTCGGTTGAAAAGACCATTGGAGTGCGAGGAGAGTAGGTGATAACTAACGCTGGCAGCTCCAGCGCTCTCACCGAAGATGGTGATACGGTTGCTGTCTCCGCCAAAGGCTGTAGGAAGAGATAGAAAAAGACGATAGAATCTTCTTTCCAATGCCTACCGTTGTTCCCCCGGCCTAACGCCAGCACCATCGTTACTGAGCCTCGTGGACTGAAACCCCCAGAATTAAGATCTGTTTTGCGGTAATGTATCTGTCAATAAATGTAAGTACGATTCCTTGGCTGGTGTAATAGAAAACTACAATAAGCCCAGATTTGGAATATGGCCCTTGAATTCAAGTGGCGAATGGGTTAAGGACGCAAACTCGTGACAGTTAATTCCTACCAGAGCAGTCTCTTGCTGTCATTATAACTGTGCCAGATGGCTTGAAAAAAAATAAGGCACGTCAGTGAGCATTTCGGAGGCCTCCCCAAAGCATGCACGTTCATGTCATTTTAAGCCGAAGCCAGATAACAGAGACCACTCGAGCCATTTTACTGGCCTTCAAATTGGATTTAGGACTCACCACCAATGTTCTCTTTGATCCACTCCAACGCTTTGACTTGATCCAGGAGCCCAAGGTTGCCTGGCAAAGCCTCACCACCTGTGAATAATATACATTCATAACAATACCTATTTGTCATAAATCAAATAGTAGATTTAGGAGATTTTCGCACTTTTATTTCTGTCAAAGAAATCATCAGCAGGACACCGATGAAGAACATGCACACATGAAAATGAATTTCAATGTGCCCTTTATGATCAAATCGAAAGAAAACACAACAATTTTCTTCCTCTGACATTTTAATCTTGTTCAGTCTAAATGACGATTCCGAGGCATACCTGTTGTCAGAAAACCAAATACGTTCAGACGATAATTAATGGTGACGACAATGACATCACCAACAGAAACCAATGGTAGCCCCGAATAAGTTGCCAGGACAGCAGATCCAGCAGTGAAACCTCCGCCGTGTATCCAGACCATAACAGCAGCGCCACCTGGCTGTGAAAAAAGAGACAAGTTTCCAGCACCAAAAAAAAAAACATTTTGTAGATGAACCTTACCGAAGTTTTTCTTCTATGTCACTTATGAGAAACTTTTTCTTTAAAATGTAAATATGTTGCCCGACAAAAGAGGTCCATTGGAAAAGATAACAGTGAGAATGAATATTAATCGCTGTTTAAGTCAAGCGCTCCTTGGGCAAGTTTCATTGTATTGCATTACTGCACTCAAATCTGCTCTGTAAAGAAAGCAAAACCACTTAGCAAAAGTGAGGCTAGCATAGAAAAATATCATGCCACCTGTTTGTCTTTTAACTGGTTTCAGCAATCTTCTCTGCTAGGTAACTAGGCGTCGTGACCACAAAGAGCATTAACATTTAAGTCTATAAAGGAAGTCGGCATCCAGCCTAAGGGTAGCAGGGCCTGATCTTAAGTTGTTCTTTGTTTGTGTTGCTGGTTACGAGGGGACATTATGGAGAGACACGCCCTTTTGGCGACAGTGTTTGAATTCCCTTTTTTGGTCTTTGAGGCAGCCTTTCACTGTGTTTTTCTTAGCCCTGTCTTTTTTAATGCTAAGTTTTAATGTCTTTATGGGGTAATATGTTTGCTTTTTTATTATTTGTTATTATTATTCATGTTCTAGAATGATCACTGGCCTGAAAGCAGAAGTACTCACCACGGCTGGTTTCGGTGCATAGATATTGAGATGAAGGCAGTCTTCACTGCTTGATGCACCGAATAACTGCGCCGGGTCCTGAATACAAGCATCTCTGAAGTACGTGGCGTTGTAAGTACCGTCCCATGGCTCTTTAGCCACCGGATGCCTGAATCGCAGAGGCCCCACGGGCGGCTCAGCGAACGGTATCCCTTTGAAGACATCGACGTCCTTGTTCACGTTGATGAACCGGGACTCCTGGAAGGTCTCGGTTGTTCCAACCAGAACCCCTTGTTGTACGGTAACAGTGGGATGATCTTGAGCACCCGACAGGGCCACAAACGTACAGAGAGCGACCAGCGCCCGTATCCCCAATTGCAAGGAACTCATGATTGCCGAGAGATTAGTAAGGCGACCACTTTCGCGAGAGGCCATTCAGAAACTGAGCGCCAGGACGTATTTTGTGGAACGGAGAATGCATCATCGATTTCTAACCCTCGGGCAAATATTAACCATTGGAATGTTTGTCGACCGGTTCTAAAGGCAACATGAATATTCACGTGTTTGTTCAGTAGCGAAAGTTTTGTCAAGTCATGTCGGTCGATGGGGGTCATAATGGAGAATCCCCGAAGGGACAAGTGCCCTGGTGGTAACGGACGGGGGGAAGGTGTTGCCGGTGGCCCCATTTTGTACCTTTCTTGTGCTCTTTACTGGTCATTTCAGCCAGATGAGAAAAAAAGTTGGTACGTTCAAGTTTCACCTTCGTTTGGGGGACCTACCCCCCTTTGGGGGATAACAGTTGGATTCGCGTCTGTTCCTGGTTCATACCGAACGCTGAGATTAGTAACTGTTAGCTTACAGCAGCGAATTAAAGACTTCGTTTGCTTTTTGTTGGCATAGCACAATGAAACGTCGGGAACTGGGTGGAGAAAGGGCGAACATAATCTGTCAAAAAATAGTTTGACTAAGGAATGTCATCCTAACCGAACTGTACAGATTATCTAGTATAGGTCTTGACAATGAGAATGGAGAAAGATTTCACTTCATACAAATTCACACGAAAATAAAAACCGCATGATCCCTCAAGTACAATGTGACATAAAATGAAAACAGTGCAATGGGTGATGCCGTCATGATCAGAGTCAGTACATCTAAAAGACAGTTTAAAATTATTTTACTTGCCATATAGCTTTCATGCACAAGAACCAAAAACACCTGCAGTTGTGAAGTGTGAAAACAATGATCCCAGGTAACATTGTAGGGAGAATTTTAAGATGATCAATTTTCTTCAGCTCTTGTACTTGGCATCATTTAATTCACATCATACTCGATACAAACAATAATACTAACTACTGTATCACGTGGAAAATATCAGACGTCTGTGACGTCATCAAACCAGATTTAATATCGCTTGATCACCTCATGATTTTGTAACTAAGCAAACACGAAACGTAGTTTCATAAAAATGTAATTTGCAATTGTTTCTAACCTAAGAGGGGCGTTGTTATGACGCTATTTCACTAGACAGGTTTCTTTTTCTTTACGAATTGTTTACCCAAAATTAGCCCATTAAAAAGAATTTGTGCCAACAGTTAATTGGCTTACTGGCCCTTGGCCATGCACTAAACAGTGACAAATCACCCAAGAAAGGAAATTTCGCCAAAAGCAGAAAGCAGAAACCTTTATACAGAAATCTATGTAGTTGTACCGATGAGGTTCCTTTAGTGATGGCATCACACTTTCACTCACAAAATTAATAGCCAAACTTTCAAGAGCATAAAAAATAAAAAAGGCATCTTCGTGCACTGAAAATAGCAAAAGGAAACCGGAGAGCAATGGTTTAATTAACAGAACAAAGTGGGTATTTTCAAAGAGGATTCATTAGGAACAGCGCAAAGTCCTTTCAAACGAAAGAGGAAAGAGTGAAACAATTTATCCACTCACTTAAAATAACTACTTTGCTTTGAAACTAAACTTGGCCTTAATGTACAAGCATTTTTGGCATGATAATCTCATACGAGACAGATCAATGCACTATTTTGTCAGTTGATGTGCAATTAATTCACATTAGTTGCTTTGTACTCGCTGAATCCCTTCCTCCAATCTGCCAGGTCCGTGTACTTCCAGGTACTGAAGGCTTGTCTCCAATCGCGCTCCGCAACGTCCAGATCAGCTGAAAACATAAGACCGAAAAAAAGGCAAACATGATTAGTTACTCATCCGCTCTTTCTCAGCCTTGCGGCGTACTGTCATTTCAGTCAGGCTTAGCTTAATATCCTTCCTTTACCTAATATCGTCCTGAGCTGCGGTACGTAGGTATTCCAGAAGTAACACTGGTCACTCTTGAGTGCTCTGGATGTGGCCAGATTTAAGCTGAGCACCTTGTACTCCAACTCAGGACGGTGAAGCGAGGCCAGAAATCTCGCTCAGACGCAGAGGACGAGCTAGTAGCATTCGCACTGGGATTTCTATCAGAGAGCAGAGGACGCTTGACCAAGTCTTGGACCATTTTTTTCTCCACAGAAAGGAGCATTGGAAATACGATTTTAGGAAAGAATCAAAGGTCCACCGATGATAACAATCTCATTTTACGGTACATGTACTAAGGTTGATAAAAACGGTCCCGTGACATTTTGATGTGAACGCTTAAACTCAGTGAAAAGTTTCCTGAAATTTTAACTTTCGGTTTTAATTCAGGATTACATGTCAGTTTTTTGCAATATAACTCGCATAATTTATTGTTTAGCTCTGTTTCAACCCCAAATTTAGTTTTACTGAAAATGTGACAGCTTTTGTCAAAGTCAACTCACCCTGTCTTGGCAAAAGTGGTCCAAAACTTCATGAACTTGACCGACAGTGCCCTTTCATCATCTGTGAAATTGGAATATAACATCTCTGTTTCCGGAGCAAAGGGAAGGCCGAAGACAAACGAGAGATCTTCGGCGTGGGTACTACCCAGCCAGCGTGGAGAGGCTCCAAAGAGAAGGCTGAAGAAGGATACTGACGGCACGTGTGTCATCTGATACAAGAAGACGCTGTCGCCCCCCTGGGAATGGAAGCGCGCAACACGGTCGGTTCCGCATGCCATGCCGAAATCTGTCTCATATTCCACGAACGATCTAAAGTAATCATGATCGGCGGAGTCAGCTTTGGACCAGTCTATGTACTGCATCCAAATAGCGTTCTGAAGTTGCTCATTGTCTCCACCTGATAATGGGTCCAAAAATGGTTGAAAACTTGCACGTAAGAGGAGCTAAAATTTCTCTTGAAATTGTACGAAATCAGAAGTAGGCCTGTAGATTTAAAGAATAGAGGTGGAGATCATCTATAACACTGTTGTTTTGTTCTTACCAAATCAACGCCATCGTGCACATATCTATTTATCGTTTCAAATTCGTGTCAGTTGCATGATACCTTGCAACGATGATTTTTATACGCAGGAGCGTCAATCCCCGGGACACAGAGATATACCCCCCCAACACACACTTTTTGACTAGGGGTGGGCTATCAATTGGATAACTGCCCCCATACTTTTTTTATGGTGAGATTTTTTCGACTCATATTCAGAAGTCCTGAAAAGGAGAGAAAATATACAAAAGGTTCAAATGCGCCATTTTTATGTAAAGGGTTACGTGATAGACAGCGCCTGCTGCAGTTTTCAAATTTCCGGTGCTCCTCCAAACGTTTGCCAAACGATGGCCAATCACAATGTGCGAAATCTATCGACCTAAGAAGTCTGGATACCAGACCCAATGATTCTGACTACTCTACGAATCAAGGGTCCGGTATCACCCAATGTCCACGTGACCAAGACTGGAGAAATTCCTCCAGTTTTCCTGAAATAGCCGAAATATTCCAAAGTCGTCCTGTCAATATTCGGCATGTTCGGATGGTACCGTTGATGTTTGGTTATTCCCGGTCGGGTAGGTGTACTAGCTGTTGAACTTAAACTCCCGTATTCTAAACGCAGCTGTTGATCGTACAATATTTGAAAATCGAAAAGTCACCTTGGCCGAAATGCCAGGCGAAATGCAGAATATAACTTTCTTCTACCACTGCAGGCTTTGTGCCTGAAACATGCTCTCAGTGGGGATCCACTTGCGGTATTATTGCCCACTGGATGGGAAACGCCTCATTTTTTAGATGTTGCCACGGAAGAAATCAAAAATATTCGGGCTCTCAACTTGTGAGCCCTGACCCTTGCGTTGTACATGTATTTATTAATATCCGTGGGTGATGCCTGTCCCTTCTTTTCATTAAGAGCTGTCAGGGAATCTTTGGGCAAGGAACCAGACTGTGGACCCAATGTGTGTTTCGAAAGGCTCGACAGATTTGGCGCGCGTTGTGATTGGCCAACGCTTTGCAAACTCTTGGAGGAGCACTATTGTGAATCGCTCGTATTTGAGTTACCCCCCCCCCATCTCCGCCCAGTGTCAGCCACAAATTTACGCAACTGTTAATAGTCTATCAAAGCGCCCTGCGGTTACATTTTAGCCACTTCGACGGACAAAAACTGACTACGAAATTGTGATCAAGTTTGTTACGTTAAGTTTTAAAAAGTGCAAGGCCTGCAGAAGTAAACTCCTCTGTGAATCCTGAGTTACCCAGGAAACTTGAGAGTTCCCCGGAAACGAGTTCGTCGAAATCCTGTGCGCTGAGGGTCGGGGGTACATCGGAGGTCGCGTAGCTCGCAAAGCGTGGACTGAACGCGATTGCTGGCGTGCCTTCATCTTTGTTGGTGCCAATGAGAAGTTCCACGTGATTGGTCCGACCAGTAGCGTAGAGATTGGCCGGCGTGTCCACCAGAAAAGTCCCATCAACAACCGCGGTCCAACAGAAAGTTGATTGAAGCATACCCTTGAGTGAACAGAGAGCAACAATGACAAATCAATGAAATCATAAATATCTCACACAGGTGCCTTATTTCTCTAACGGCAAAATATATGTAATGTGTATTGTAACAGTGGCATTTTTATAACGTATGAATGTTGGAAGGAATCTTTACCGGGCCGGTTTCAGCGAAGAGTGCTGACGTGTTCTTTTCTCTCATGCAATTCACCAGAGCCACACTGCTAGAGGCACTGCAGTCCAGCGCCGCGCCACCCCGATCCGAAACGCCTGGCTACGAAGCATAGCTGTGTCTTCGGAAAATGCAAGTGGTGAAAACACTGTTCCACTCTGAAAGAGATTTCCCACCAAAATGCATTAGTCTTATCAACCAGATTTAGAAGGACACACACCTACATCAATTCCACATACACCTACATCAATTCCACATACACCTACATCAATTCCACATACACCTACATCAATTCCACATACACCTACATCAATTCCACATACACCTACATCAATTCCACATACACCTACATCAATTCCACATACACCTACATTAATTCCACGTAGGGCCTAGGTCCATATTAAAATGTAAAGCTTTACAAGTGACAAGGCTCATCTTTTAAGTGGTCGTTTTCTTCTCCTGTTTAGGTTTAAAGTTCAAATAGCTGTTGTTAAAATTGTATTCATAACTTAAAAAAATTAATAAATCCCTGTCAGTATGATTGGTGGATCATGCATCACGTGTCATTAAATTATTCAACCCAACGCATGGTGCAGCCGCACTGTGAAAAAAAATTAATTGCACGCGCGCCACATTTTATTCCAGTCGGCCGCAATCAGGAGTTAGAAAGAAAAAGTTTAACAATTTTGCACATTTAGTAGAGAGAATAAGAAAATTCCATCAAATGTACCAGACTGCCACCGTTGGAGGATTGACAGCAGCGCTCTGTTACGTACTCAAGGACGGCTACTGATCGATTTTACACTACATGTCTGTTTTTTTCTTCTGTTTAGCAATGACACCGAGTCTTGAACATTCTTAATTCTCTCTGCGTTACTATGGTGATGGGGAGTTGAATGAGTATCTATAGAAGTTCTGCAAGGCAGCCATCTTTCCGGTCAGTGTTTTTGTTCCGTAGGGATACACGTGACAAGTAGACTTTTTGTGCATATCCCCCATAACAAAAAAGCACTGACCGGAAAGATGGCTGTCGTGCATAACCGCTATTTGTACGCATGGGACCGAAAGAACTAAAACATGAATACTCCAAACATCGAAGGGCACAAAATACTATAGAGATTTCGACTGTTTTACAGATATTTTATTCCCCAAGTCTCAATACTGGCGTTCACAAAAGTGCGCCTCCAAGAGTTTGCAACGCGTTGACCAATCACAATACGCGAAATTTGTCGACCCAATCTGCGTTTGGAAAGGGTCAACAAATTTCGCGCGCTGTGATTTTCCAACGCGTTGCAAACTCTTTGAGAAGCATAATTGTCAATCGCCCGTATTGGTCCCATTTTAGTAACTGAAACTAGTTTGTCAGTAATGGTACAAAATGATACTCACTTGTTGTATGGCCTGGTGGAACAGGCCCTGAGAACGTTGGGACAATATATGAAAATTGACACTGAACGATCCTGCACTCTCGCCAAAGATGGTGATACGGTTGGTGTCACCGCCGAAGGCTTCACATAAACAAACAGGTCTAACAACAGGAATGGTAACAAAATTCTTTTCGCTATACCCCGGGATTTCTCAGAATTCTGCATCATCATTATCATAATGAGACTCCTGCAAAGAATGGAAAGTGCAAGTTCACAACAAACCTAACAAATCAAATCAAGTCAAGCTATTGAAATAAGTCTTGAAGAAACCTTTCCGGCTTTTTTGCCATTTCAAACTGGTCTTTAGACTGGAATGACGAATGTCATTGGACATGTTAAGCTGACTCGTCCACCAGGCCGCTCTTTGACCGAAGAACGTTGCTAGTTCAATCAAATTGCATTATATGAAGCCTCATCTTGGAGAATTTTCATAAATTTTTCACCGGAAAGATGGTTATATTACAGATTCAAAAGGCCAAGGTGAAACCACGGCCAGTGATTTGAAAAAAAATGCTTCTCGAATTCGATAACTAGAGATTCCATGTGTTAATTTAAAACATTTTTTAATTTTTTTTCTGCCTACAGTAGATGTTGTGACTCACCACCAATGTTCTGTTGGATCCACTCCAACGCTTTGACTTGATCCAGGAGTCCAAGGTTGCCCGGCAAAGTCTCATCACCTGTGAATTATGGGAACATAAAATGTACGAGTACATCAAACTTCATAATGCATTTCGCCGCAGCGTCAGCCCTGAGCATGGCTTCCTCCTCAGGAGTTGTAAAGAAAAGGTATTATCGTGATCTACTGATATGAAAGTTAACAAAGATCCATTTCACAATCTAAAATGAAAACCAACACGCTACTCAAATCAAATCCACGTTTTGCGTCCAAGGCGGCAAAATTGACTTTTTCATAAACGACGATCTAATTTTTCCATCTGTAAAAAAGCGCTACCCCTTAAAGGGCCATGGTAGTACCATTTCTAGAATGATGGCGCTTTCAATATTCCCGTGACAACATGTCCCCTCCTACCTCCACGGCGCTGGATATGCCACTTTTCAAACACGTCTCAACTTGCAGTGCGTTACCAAAGTAGATAAACTCTTTCAGACAAATTTTATATCGCCCCTTTTCAGGTTATATGCTTTGTGAGTGAAAAAAAAAGGGACTCGGAAACCTTTTGTTCATGATTTCACTTAAGCCTTAACTTGTTATTAATTGAGGCCGTATCAAGGATCATTGGTCGTCCCGACGCGTGATATTCAAATATTTGAGAGTTTCGTTGTTAATGAACTAACTTTTAGCAGATCTCTCTGCTGTAATCTTTTCGCTGAAAGTATAAATGAATGGTGTTTTCCGGCAGGTACATTAGCTTTTTACAGAGCATTCTGTACTGCATATACCTGTAGTTAGGAAGCCAAATACGTTCAGACGATAATTAATACTGACGACGATGACATCACCTACTGCAACCAATCGCTGTCCGCTATAAGCTGTTTCCACGGCAGACCCTCTGACGAAACCACCGCCGTGTATCCAGACCATGACAGCAGCGCCCCCTGGCTGTGAAAAGGAGACAGGTTTCTGAAACTGATGATATAGGTGAAGTCAACAGAAACCTCATTTGTTCATTGATTGGTGTGGACTTAGTTTCTCCACACATCCTGACTAACGGATCAATAACCAGCAAATTGCGTCCTATGGCACTCATAGCCCAAACCGAACAACATCATGTAAATCGTTTCCATCACGATACACTGCTTTCTAGATGATCTAAGTTTGTGCTTAACCTGTGCACAAAAGCCTGTACTATCCACCTCGAGCAGAAGCACCCCCTCGTCGTTTGATAAGAGTCATATTGGTCGGGAGTACTCATTTTGTTATAGTAGCGAAATGCGACCGTAAAGCGTACATTTCATAAAAGGGGCCTCCGTTGCTAAGAAAACTGCGCCCTCTCTTGGTTCAGCTCGCGACTCAAACTGATAGGGACACATGACTCACTACTGCATGTACTTATACAGCCGCCAGTCATCGGCTTGTATGTGGGCACTCTTCTTGTGATGTAACCTGCCGCAGCCCAGCTGTAACAGATGCAAAGCCATGGCTCGAAAAAGCGAACTCAGGGTATAGGCATAAAGAGTTCCAATGAAAAACAGTATCAGCCAAGCAGCGCCTGAAAAGCTGGGTGATAGGCTACCACCCGTCTTGAGTCAAGGGAAGAATTTTTCCACAGAATAACTGTCCAATTATTCACCAATGAAAGAATCTAAGGACCCTCAACCTCCCCGAGAGAGGGGACAATTCCTTTAAAAATGGCAAGATGTATCCGATAAGAGACAACTTGCCACCCTCCCCTTGGAAGGCCGCTATTTTCTTAGCAGCGGAGGCTCCTTCGGTCGGAACTGAACTTCGCTGGTTCACGAACGACTAGGAAATGCACGGGTTACGGTCGAATCACTACCGAGAAAATGATTTTTTTTCAACCGATGAAGGAGTGCTTCTGCTCGAGGCGGTATGTTATAAAACGTGTGCTTCTGTCGGTTGACTTTGTTGCTCGAGACTGCTGGACATCGGTCAGGTGGTTACTCATAAGACCTCAACATTAGATTTCATGATTTCATAAAAGCATTTTCGGAATTTTGAGGCACAAAACTGATTTATTTGTAAATGATCCTATTGCAGTGGCGTAGCCGGGGGGCTGGGGGCACGTGCCCCTCCACACATTCCCAATGCCCCCTTTGACCTCTCTACCCTTTGACACCCCCCACTAGTAAAATCCTAGCTACGCCACTGTCCTATAGGCCTGTAAAGTGCTTAAATATTACTAACCACAGCAGTTTTCGGTGCAAATATATTGAGATAAAGGCAGTCTTCGCTCGTCGGTGCACCGTGCAGCAGTACCGCGTCCTGCACGCAGGCGTCTCGGAAGTACGTGGCGTCGTACGTACCGTCCCACGGCCCCTTAGCCACCGGGGGCCTGAATCGCAGCTGCCCCACAGGCGGCTCAGCGAACGGTATCCCCTTGAAGACATCGATGGTCTTGTTCACGTTGATGAACTGGGACTCCTGGAAAGTCTCAGTGGTGCCGACAAGAATGCCTTGTTGTACGGTGACTGTTGGGCTCCCTTGTGCAGCCGATAAGGCCACGAGCAAACCTAACGTGAGGAGGCTGAAAAAGGCTCTTGCGAAGTCTTTACCAGCCATTTTGACAAGTATAAGAAATGAAGGAAACCCTATAAAGCGATCCCTTTTGCCAGCATACAAAAGAACTATTTTGGAACTATCCGCATGTGCGGCAAGCACAAACTGCAAACTTGATCGAGTACAAACAACCGGGCGTCTCAGTGATATGGACGATTTGGCAAAAAAATGATAGGAATATCACGTCACAATTCAAAGACTGTCCCATGCAAACTTGCCTTGTCGTAGACTTGTCGTTAGATAAACACCGTTACGTAAGCCGAGTAGGACGATCAAAATAACCCTCACGGGAACAAAGAGACAGGACACGAAGACATACTGCCTTCTTGTATCTTGTCCCGTCCGATACATACTCCACCCAGAGCCAGTGAAACGGTGTTTCGATTTCAGTTTGACCAATAACTTATTTAAGACACAAAGTATCCACGACAAAACTAATGTTTATTCTGAAAAGGGACCCTTGACAAAGACATCCACAGGGGGGGGGTATTTTGTAAGCAGTTCATCGCGCCTACTTACAATTCCAAGGTTTCCCTTTGACGTTTAAGAGAGAAACGATATTTCCATAATGAATCTGGACATCTCACAAAATAGACAAATCGTTCACGTGCCACTGAAATTTCCATACAGCAAATTCATTGTGGCTACACTCTAAATGTACCACCAATGACCATAACCAATAATTCAGTAAAAATACCAAAAATACATGGGTCGATCATAATAGTACATCTTTGTACCTCTGAAAATCCTAAATAAATGTTGCTTGTCTAGCACTAAACCTTTTTATGACGTTATCTTTGCCTGTCATCCATAAACAGTTTTAGTGTTCTTTAATATACTACTTGTTAAACTTTCGCAATGTTTAACACCATGTATGTTAACGTGTCAACAGTTTTACCCTTGTGATTACACATGTACTGTCTATCATTAGCGTATCCAGGTGGGGGGGGGTAAATTGTTATTTTTTTTCCCTACAAATGGCTGTCCAATTTTTTCCTCCGTAAAAGAACTGACATTAACCTCGAGCTCTTCCCAAAGTGTTAACATTTTTGAAATGGCACTGCAACCTAACCATTTCTAAAATGCTGGCACTTCCAGCTGGACAGTTACAGCTGCCTATGAGGTTTTCAGTATTGACACACTGCAGACTTGAGTCAATTTCACAGAAAAAGAGGTATTTTTGTAACTGGCCGAAGCGTAGAAGAACATTTTCAAAAAATGAGTCAATATGCAGTTGAGTGCATGTGACCCCATAATTTTCTTTAACAGCGTCTCATGATTTAAGTGCGTTTAGTGAGGCCATCCAAGCCGGCATGTCGCTCTCTCTCCACCGCTTGGTCTCGTACTCGTAATCGGTAAACGTTTTTTCATCTGGACCTGTCGGAAAAATTAAAACTTATTAATTCCGTCAGTGCAGCATATGAATGACGAAAAAATGGACAAGACGCTGTGAATGAAGAGAATGTAATAATCTCTGATGGTACATGATAGTCGTAAAATTCATTGTATTTCTTAAAAAAAAATGTCCAGGCTGTCTTAAATTATGCCTTCGATATCTTTATCTGTATCTATCTGTATTCTGAATTTCATTCATTGGTAACGTAGCCTGCTACTCCGTACTCGATAAAGTCTACGGAACACACAATTCGCATCAGAAAATACGAAATGTATGTTTGTCGAAATTCTTTTTTTAGAATCTGAGGACCTTGAGAAATTCCAATGAGTAACCTGTCCAAACATGCGCAGCCATTATGATGTGCATGCTCAAACCAAACCGAGTCTTAGCCGAAAGTTACATAGACAAAGCCGATCTGGCGTATTTGTAGGATGAAAGTTGTTTGCAGTAACTACTTGGTATTTGATTCCCCACTTCTCCGAGAACTCAGCTGTCCCCCAACCTCTTTTTACAATAGTATTTCATTTATACATGTAAATTTTCAACACGTTTTTTTGTTGTTGCTGCTGTTGCTGCTGTTGTTTTAGCTACGGTCATTTTAAGCAGTCATTTGACATTACCGAAAAACTCCTGAAAGCTTAGCACTGGATAAAAAAATGCACTGTGAGGAGATCTTATAAAATATCACGGGGACGTATTCTGACCCCCGCTCGTTGAGGGTTTAGTGGCTTCTCAAGGTAGGGCACCTTGCAATACGGGGCAACTCACCAAACAACGTCAGGAGCCTAGGGACGTACTCATTCCAGAAGTGGCAGTGGTTCTGTCGCAGACCTCGCCCATTTCCCAGGTCGAGCGAGATCTCCTTGTATCGCTGGTCAGGCATCGTGTATCTTGGCCAGGCAGGGAGGCCTGGGCCATTAGGATCTCTGGACGGAGGGGGGGAAGAGATGAAAATAGGGTGTCGGTGTGATGGGTCGAGAGTAAACAGCAAAACAAGGAGTTGAGCACATCTCAAGTGATAGGTTGAAAATTGTTAAAAAATGATGGATGAAAGTGGGACTCAAAGTTCATTGTTTGCATTCCAGCAAGCTGCCGTGTTTAAAGGCTCAATACAGGTCATCATGCTACTTTGGTTAAGATAAAATCTTTTGTATACATTTCAAATTAACCCACTTCAAATATCTCCCTCTGATTTTGTACTTCGTGCTTCAAAAAAGATATTGCATCCAATGTGCACAACCTGCCAAAGTTAAGCTGACTAATATAGCGATTTTATAGGCAAATTCAACCTGTCAAAGTTAGCAGCGGTTTTGTTAAATTGTACACATTTTTATTTCATGGGTGTTGGACTCAGTTCAAGAATGGAATCTGTGTTCTTTTGCCTCCAGATGACCACTTCTCCATCAGCAATGGTGCTACTTGTAAAAGTAGGATGTCAAAATGTTAGGAAGAAAATGTCGGTTCGTTCCCATTTTCTGTTGGATTCTTAAACATAATAGCAAGGTCCAACGATAACAGTTGAAGAGTTTCATTTTGTGATGCGTTTGACGTACAAAACTATCTCCTTGACATTTATGCAGCTTGAGTCTTTTCACATGTTGCTATGTTGGGTAATTGAGGAGTTATACTTGGACCTTGAAATTTATTACGGGTCGGTTAGCGAGCGCCACCAAGCGGTAGACTTTAATGTGCGTGGCTCTGAATTGCGAGTAAAATTACTATAATCGCCTGTGCATCCTATTTCATTGCGAGGCCTTTCTGTAAATTTCAGTTTAATGAATGTCCTTTTCCTATATTCTCCTTTGAGTACACTATTATATTAAGAAAGTGATTTCTGTTCCACAAGAATAAATATATACTTTTTGATGTCTGTTTCAAAAATTTTTCCAAAAACAAAAAATCATATCTGGGTCATTCCACAAAGTTCGGGCCCAGTTTGTGGCGGCGTCCCTTGTTACCTCAGTGAAAATAAACATCTTTTTCCCTACATGGGGATTCTAAATTGACATTATTCTAAATCTTGCTAGGTTTTTGTAGTGGCGTGCTTCATCTTTGCTGAATAATAATGGCTTAATCTGTTGTAATGTGAAAATAAAGGGCAATAAAAGTTACCGATGTAACATGGGACGCCGTCACAAACTGTTCCCGAACTTCATGGAATGACCCATCTACAGGGTTGCCTTTGTCAAAACTTCTCCGAGTCTTGAATGCATGGGTAATTTTCCTTTTGCGAATACCAAACAAAGTACATGTATTTACCCAGTCTTAGCAAAGTTTGCCCAATATGTCATGACCTTGGCAGCGAGTTCTTTTTCTCTATCTTCAGGAATCTTGGTCTTGTAAAACAGCTCCTCAGCCCAGGCGTTGCCGAAAACATAAGGGAGATCCTCGGCGTGGGCAGCTCCCATCCACCCAGGACCGAGGTTGAACACGTCCATGACAGACACCGTTGGCCGGTGGGTCATGTAATACATGAACACGTTGGAGCCAGCCTGCAGGTGCGCCTTAGCCGTCCAGTCTGCAGGTGCTATCCAACTCTGATCGGTGGTTATCCTGACGAAGTTCTCCAGGTAGTTGGCGTCTGGGTCTTGCAGCTGGTCCGGGTTGGCATAGACCGCGTCCAGGGCTTGGTAGACGGCCGACGTGTCGGCATCGACGAGGTATCTGGGTATCGCCTGAAGAAACTTGGTCCTGTTCATGTGAGGAGGTGTCGCTGAGTTGTAGGCGCTCATGTCGACCACGAGGGCGTAGGTGGCGCCTTCATCTGCTAAGGTACCCAGGAGAACATCGACTTTGTTAGGAAAGTCGCCGTTCACGAGCAAAGTCTCTGGCCGGTCGCGTAGGAAGAAACCATCCACCACAGGTTGGAAAGAAATGGTCACCTGTGCATCATAATTATAACTTTAAAAAAGAATGCCACATTTCGATAATAATCCTTCAAGGATCCAATTTGAAAGAACTAATAGAAAAAGACCTTGGATCATATTTGTAAAATAATGGCATCAGTGACCGACAATAAAACTGGAAGGCACACTTGCTCTGTAGATAATATAAATCAGTGAATGGGCATGAAAATGAAACTGTTCCAAACTTGACGAATAACATTTTAAAATACCACCCTGTCAATTTGGTGCTAGTGCTACCGGTATCTAAATTGTCGTCTAGGAATGCAACACACATAGCCCCATCAAACATTGTTTAGGCTGCTTTTTAAATGTGTCTCGACGAGCAAGATTTAGGCCTTTGACACAGACATTAATTTAGCAGTAACTCTGAGAGCCTTCAGTTTCAGCCCCCCCCCCGAACTGTTCGCATTCACGTACCTCGCACGTGTTCAAGAAGGCCTGTATTTTAGCATGTTCAACTACGCAGACCCATACTCACCACGAGAAGATAATTTTTTACGTACCTGGAAGGCCTTAATCAGTAGTTCCCTGGCGGGGACGCTTTTCATGCACAGTACCATCTCAGAAGAAGTGTGGTTGGAGCAGCCTACAGAGGCCGCAATGAGCCCCGTTTCTTGAATTACTTCCTTTACGTCGCGACGGTAAGCGAAAATGGTCGTGGGGACACCACTCTGCCCAAAACAACATGCGCAGGTGTATCATATGAACAGTTGCGTATGCCATGGGGTACCGTTCCAACCAAAAGCTGTCTGTCTAATCATTCATATTTTTGTCACTCAATATTTTCGATGAAGAATAGCCCAAAGAAATGATATTCTTTGAAAACCAGAACTTCCGCTGACTCTGATTCCAAACGGCTTGTCTACTTCACTATGAAAATCAAATCGACCAGCGTAGAGTGCCGAAGTGAATACATGTACGTCAATACACGCACAGTTATGTGTGTAAAAGACATTACCGAGAAAACCAGCCTGCGAACCAACACGCATGCGTCCTCGATTCGTTTGCACTGCTCTTCTCGGTTCAAAATGACGCCGCACTTCGGTACTCTAAAATGCAGAGTTACCCGTGAAACTTTTAACACACCCATGCGATAATTCCAAAGTAATGTGCTATTTTGAAGCATGTAGCCCAATAACCATTGTCAGCATATCCGACCTCAGACCTGATATTTACCTGCATAATCACTCTACGGAAGAGACCGACACTCCGCTTGGAGAGCAGATGTAGACCCACGCTGGTAGCCCCTGCACTCTCACCGAAAATGGTCACTTTGTCAGGATCGCCCCCAAAACCTGAAGCAGAAGAAGAAAAGTCGAAGCAGAAATTCAACAGTACGTCTAGCCTTGAAGTCGAGACAATACAAAACATAACATAACAAAACATTTTACATAACAGTAAAATATTACAATGTACAGTTCTAATAGCTGGAACTAAACTAGCAGCCCTAAAAATTACTGATAAGATTTTCAGTCGACAAACAACGCCTCAGGATGGGACATGTAAGTAGCCCTTCTTATCGACGACTGTATAGCGAAGTCTGTTCGACCGTGGTTAGACACGCATTTTACAGAGTCACTTCCATTTAAACCGTTTTGGCTTATACTTTTCACACCTTTTGTGGGTGCTAATTTTCCAACCAATTACTGAAGATTCGACAGACAAAGCAATATAGCACTCACTCTTGATGTTGTCTCGGACCCACTCTAGCGCCATCAATTGATCCAGCAAACCCACATTCGCTGGGAGGTCATTGTTGCCTGTGAAAGTAACAAAATTAGATAGCAACATTTTCCTAGCTTAAATAAATCCCTGGCCCCATCCATTGGTGTGTTAAGTGTGAAGCCTAACAAGGAAAGGAAAAGGAGAAGTCCTTAAATTTGCAATGCGTGGTAACCGCTCCGTTATTTCAAAAATGTCCTTAATTTACTGTACAATTTTTGCTTTGCTTAATCCACTTCTTCCTCGACACCCATCATTTCAATCATTAAGTAAACCTCTGCCCTATGAACTTGCCTCTGTTTCTAAATCTGGCATTTACATTCTCGCTATAGCATGGGCTGACAGTAGCTTACATTTGGCCGAGCGGTGCAACCAAAAAGCACCATTACACAACCTCGTTCCCACAGTTATGATCTTGTTTTATCGTGTTAGTTTCAACTACGCCTAGTAAAGGAACAAAACGCAGCCGATGGGGACAAGACTGGCCCTTGATAGCCATTCCAAACACTGTAACTGGTACAGCTCTTTCCCCATTGCTGAGGGCCAACATCAGCATACAGTCAACCCGTGCCGGTAATGGTTTTATCGTTTTCAAGAAGATGAGGTAATCCTTCAGCCTACAGACCGGTTGTCATGAATCCGAAGGGCCCCAGGCGATAGTTGACGGTAACCAGGATGACTCCGCCGACGGACGCCAGAGGGTAGCCTGTGTACTCCGGCATGGACCCCGAGCCAAACACGTAGGCTCCCCCATGGAAAAACACCATGACGTCGGCATAATCGGGCTGCAGAAGAAAGAAAGTTGAAGCACAAGCTATCAATTCCGTATTTCAACTGAGATTCAATATCACGAGGCAGCACTATTGGTAGTCTGTGCCAACAGACAAAATACTTCAAACGGGCAAAGGTTCGATTCCTCGCTTGAAATAGTTCATAAAAACCCACTTTACGATATAGAAAAATAATTTGGAGATGGTGTGTATCGTCTGGGCTTGAATCTCAAAGTTCTTTAGGCTTTTTTCTCTGTTAAAAATAAAACTGAAAGGGGGCAGTAACTAAATTTTAAGAAGGCTTGCAAAAATTTTGAAGGCCTTTGAAAAGACCAAATGTGGCACAAGACATGTTTAATCTTAAACAGTTTGTGATTCATTTCAAGAATTTCAATTTTGGGAAAATATCTTGGACGGTAGTTCACAGCTTGGCACGACTTATATCATCAACAAAAATTACGAGACTCTGTCGCTTGCCAGTGCTATGAAATTGGTGCTGGTGCCTTGTGCGGCGGGGAGTATGGCTTACAGAACATCGGTGCCTCGGACCTTTGGAACACTTAATTCAGCCGTGTCGTCTTCTACGTAATCTTCCACAAGGAGCCACGAGCACCGTTGCCAATGAGCGCATGTGACGTCAGCCAAGGCGAGGAAGGCTACAACTTTGTCGTGCGTACTTAGTAAATCTAGCTCCTAAACTTACACGTGCAATGGCCCCGCAGCGCGAGTGCCCAAGCATCGTCAAAGCCCGCTTACCAGATCGTGAGGCACGTAGACGTGAACGAACAGACAGTCTTCGTCGATGCCGCTCAAGGATGGGAAAGTCTGCATGCACGCCGGCTTGAAGCTCAGACACGACAAGACTCCGTCCCATGCTCGCTTCCGGATTGGTGGCTTGAACCTGTTCAAGCCAGTTGGGGGTTCGGCGTACGGGATACTCTAGAAAATCAATGTTATTTAGATATCACATCATTGATCCAATTTTCATTATTACTGCTTTGGCTGGTGCAAAGGATTGACGTTCATTTTTCCAGTCAACAGAGTGAGAAACCAACTCCATAGCACTGTTTTGCACAATCATTTGCTCAGAAGAGAACTTTGTTTAGAATAAACAGGCTACCAGCCAAAAATTAATAAAATGTACATCGTTCTTTACACTGGTTCCATAGCCGATTTTTGCTGAGCACATAAATCTGCGGACTTTCTATTTCTATCACGCGGTTCACGTTGAATCTGGACTCAGTTTGGAAACTGTTGGAGAACGATTAACTGCTATTGGAAGGGTGCAAAAAGTAAGAAGGGGGGGTTTCAAGGAATCCAACATTATTGCTTCTAGCCCCCATCATCGTTTTCTAACACCAAGTTTATTGTGAAGTGCCTTTTACCTTGTAAATGTCGACCTGCGTACTGACGTTCAAGAAGTCCACATCGGTATTAAATGGTTTGGTCTCGCCTATTATCCAGCCCTCACGTAGCCGCACCGTTGGCCTGGAGAGGACAGCAGCGACCCCAGCCAGTAAAACGCACAAACGGATCATATTCATCCCGTCCAATCTGTACACTGACTACCGCACCAAGGACCCTACGTACGCGTGGCTTGATAAAAATGGTGAACTACACAGCGCGGCGTCGAAAAATTGAACAAACTTTCACATGCTCTGACACTCGTCTGATACCGTATCTGCTTCCATATATCATAACCACTTTGGGGTGGTTTTAATCGTTTGGACGGATCACAACTGAAACAGCAAACTACAAAACAGCAGATGACAGTCACCTCTTCGTTGCTGGTGTTCGGTGACGATGCTGGCACAGTTTTTACATCGAGGTCAATCCCGCACCAAGAGTATTCGATATTCAAACTAAGGCGCTGATAACCTCGATAAAGACTTGAATTTATGAGTAAACAAAGCTCTACTGGTGATATAAGTGGTGGGAAATCAGTGGCGTGTTAAGCTGGAATACGTTTAAACGATTGTGAGAACTAGAAGCCGAAATATAGGAGGAAAGCTTTTTAATGAGGCTCCCAGACAAAAGCCTAAGCTGGAACTCGTTTTCCAACTCACAAACCAGTTTTGAACTGAAACAAGGAACGGCAAAAACATCGGCAGAATGACTTTCGGCTTACCGTATTTCTTTGTCGGCAACCGCGGGTGTTTGGCGTACAGATACCGGTACAGGTCAATACCAAGATAAGAACATTTGATATCTTTTTCAAGTTAAGGCGCTGATGACCTCGATAAGGATTGTGATTTACAAGTAAACAAAGCTCCCCTTCTGATGTAACTCGAGAGAAACACAGTGGCGTGTGAAGATAGGATCCAAATTTTAGGGTAACCGTGCGGAAAAGTCTTGTTAGTAGAAGAAACGCTTTGCCCATCATTTTTCTTAAATGACGCATCCAGGCAAGAGCCTCAGATGCAAGTCGATATTCAAGAACTAGACATCGATTGGGTCGTGTCCTGGATGATTTCAATTTGGAAAATTGTCAACATGTCGACCAGTTTGCTGGCCAATGGTTGTGTTTGTATAAATAGTATCAAGGGCCCCTCTCTGAACAGGGATTTTGCCGTGTCTTGCATGGCTATTATTTATTTCGAGGAGGATGAAACCGTAGGTATGGTCCATAGGTCTACATGCATGTGTGCTGGTTTGAGATAATCACAGTCTTTACAAACTGTTCCCATATGCAATGGCGGAATTGAAAGCGCCAAAGTAGAATCAGGTACCACCAATCCTGCAGGGAAGGGATTCTATGCGGATGAAAACAAAACGGACAATTCTTTTTTTGGGGGGGGGTTCCATTTTGAATGCCCAAACGCTTCATAAGTGCGCCCAATTGGGAATACAGATAATTATGCCTATTTTTAGGCCGCAAATACAATACCCCTTCCCCTCAGATCTTTGAGTGCAAGAAAAAGCAGGTATAAATGTTATTAACCGCTGACTCCATGGATATTAAATCAAGCTCTTCAAAACACAGCTTGCTGTCTAGCCGAGGTGGCCACAGTATGTAGCCGCGACTATGAACCGTTACAAAAGCAGAAAAGTGGCAAAAACAAACTTAAGCAATGGCTAAAAACCGACATACAGTACTGCATCAGGTACCATCATGGGTGTTGCGAGGAAAAAAATCAATCGGAAAATTGAAATCTAAACAAAGCGAAAAAAGAAAAGAAAAAAGAAAGAAAGAAAAGAAAGAGGGAGAGCAATATTGGAAAAACACCACTTCAGTTATAAATACCTCGGAATCGACCCCTTTTCACCGTTATAGTTTGTTAGTTTGCTGCTGAGTGCTTAACCCCCCCCCCCTGGAAAAATCACAGCAGGGGGAACCAAAAGATGCAGGCCATTGTTCGATGTATTTGATACAGTGAATGTTGCAATCCTTAGACAAGCGACTTTCAAAGTGATTGTAAATGCTGGAGACACTAATTATATTAAAGGAGCCTCAAAATGAAATTAAACCTGGTACAGCTGCCAGAATAATACGAACCGTTCGACGGAGAGACGAGTTTAAAGATTTCATTGGTCCAGAAAGAGACGTATAGTCTTGACCGATACCGCCGCTCCTGGTGGGAAGGTAGACGGAGATATCCTTGTATAGCTTCTGATCTAGGTCATATTCCGGCCTGTAGGGAATGACGCCATCATTAGGGGAACTGAATATGAAAAATATTGTAACTGTTTTTACAAGAAAAAAATTATTCGCGTATCAAGGGAAGCGAGACTAACTATGATTACGTGAAGAAAACGCTGAAACATCGATAACTCATTTACTTTTTACCTGTTACGATCAGCGTTTTTTTGTCTAAATCATGACATTATCATAGGTTATAATTTTAAGTAAACATCTTCCGAAGAGCAACGATAAATAAATAAACACAGCTGTACATTTGAATTTGAATGATACACAGAAAATCAAAGGAATTTATCATTATTTATTTCAAATTTAACTACTTATTAAATTAAAAAAGGCTTTGTGATTTATTTGTCAAATGAGGACTTTCCAGGAGTTTGTAAATAATAGAATAAATTGTGATCTCTGCCTTTAAGTTCCTTTATGTCAGCTAAATGAAAACTAGTGTCTAAAATATTCACTGGAGTAATCCTTCAAAGATAAATACATTTACCTCGTCTTGGCAAAGTTGGTGCAGTTCTTCATGACAATGTTGGACATCACCATTTCTTCAAGTAGAGGTTTCTTGTTCTTTGTAGAAGATCTCGGGAATTTAGGCGTACCGAAGACGGTGGGCAGGTCTGTCCGCGTGGACGACACCCAACCACTTGGGGCCGAGGAAAAAGACATGATACATAGAGACGGTTGGTGTACGCGTCATCTGGTACATATAGACCTTTGTGCCTTCCCGTAGGTGAGCCTGAGCCGTGACGTCAGCGGGGGCAATCCGGGTGCAGTAGGTTGTGATCCGGGTGAAGTTATCTAGGTAGTCGGGATCAGCGACTTGGCTATCACTGACATACCGGGTCTCGATGGCCTGTTTCATGGAGGCGTTGTTGGCAAGGTCACCGGTTCACCATAAGTGAAGATCCACTCAAAGTAAACCTTCAGGAACTCTTCGCGGCTCTCGGGCTGGTCTTTGGACGCCGAGAAAGAGGGAAAGTTCTGGGACAGGGCCACCAGAGCGCCTCGTAATCGTATATGGCTCCGATCATAATGTCGAGTTTCTGGGCCAATTTCATGAAGGTGCTAAGCACAAAATTTTGCTTGGCACAGTATTGTCTTGCTTAGGAAAAACAGTTTACCAGCCAAATATCCATGTCATTTTTAAGATAAGCGAACATCAACTGAACACCAGTCACAAGCAATATACAGCATATGAATAATTTGGTTGGTAATCCTGTTTTATCAAGGGAAAGAAATCATGCTAATGATCCATGAAATTGGCCCTGACCACTTACACACATGAAGTTCAACCTCACAAGCACGACGTTCGAACTCGACGCTTACAATTCACAAACACGACGTTTGCCTGTCCGCTTTAGAACACCATATCTTTGCGCGTAACTACCACAGTTTTACTTTGATTCTTGTTTTGCAATTCTCAAGATGTCTGTGGCCATCTCTGCTTGAATACACTCTAAATTTACTATGAGTGACCTTTCAGAAAGGCAATGAAAGGTTACATTAAGGAGCGGACTCCCCTCCCAAAAAGAGGAAAACCACCCCCTAAATATGCCCTTTGGTGGATACATCGCATTTGTTTCACTTCTTACCGGGTAAAATCATTCGGGTCGACTCGGGCTCAGGAGCCGGCGTCGGGTACGATGACGCTTTCTCCTCTACCCCTCGATCCCCATCCTTGGGTTTGGATGTACATTAGCCTAGCCACTGTTTTCTACAGGAGTGTGTTAACCATACTCTGGGAGGGGGGTCCGGGTTCACCCTCCCATGATTGGGCTCACATGTGATGACTACGCTGGCAGGTAGTTCAGGTAGTTGACGCCAAAAGTCGCACGGAGGTCTTGAGCCCGTCCTCTCATTATCATTTGAAAGGATGAACTCATTAGGAGCTATTAAGATCCTTTTTGAGCCGTTTGGTCAGGTTTGACCTCCAGTTTTCCATTCTATGCTTGTAGCCACTCGTGATTTTCCTATCCGATGAAACAGCCTCTTTCCCCATCCCTCTCTGGCTTTTTGGCTGATGTTGATGGGCGCGGTGCTGGGTTAACTAAAACTGACCGCAGACAACAGGCCTTCATATCGAGGACCACCGACACTGAGATCAAGAATCGGCCACACGAACATTCAGTAGTCTGACATTCGTAAATTGGACTTCGGTCAAGCACGGGAGTTTCAGAAAAAAAAATCTCTCGGACAAACATTGAGGTCTGTGATATTTAAAGTCAAACCAAGTTTTCAGTGAGGCTTCAGCTAGGGGGAGGGGGAGTCTGAGGATTTTTCTGTGTTGTCTTTATGCACCTTTTTCAGACTGAGTAAAAATTAAGGGGCCCTTAAACGCACTTAGGGGAGGAGGCTTATTTAGTTATCGGTAGTTACCCCGTTGACGGGACAAACGTATCCCCAGACTCCGGTTTGGGCACTGGCATGGTGGTCTGTTTTTCTCTCTACAACTATTGTATAATTTGCTTTGGTTTTAAATAGTTTTTGTGTGCTTGGATTTTTATTTTTTAAATTTTTTTTACTTAGTTTTAAATACGTTTTCAGTGTAATGCGCCTTTGATCACTTCGGTGGAAAGGGCGCGCTATAAATTCAAAATTATTATTAGTATTAGTATTATTAGGGACGGAATTGAGTAGTTTCCCATATTGTCCTGTAATTGTTGTTTTAACACGCGCGATAGTTTTTTGTAATGACAACAGAATTTCACATCAGACCAGCCGACCGATGTAAATTATCGAGGGATCCCAATACGACTCTTTTAGCGTCGATCTGCGCACTTCCGCGTTTGAAAACGAGGCTGTGTGTGTTAGCTTCAATTCTTAATACGATCAGACGATTGAAAGTAAGGAGTCAAAACGTAAAATACATAAAGGTACATGTATGTTAAATTCAGACTTTGAGGCTGCAAATTTTTGTGGAAGAATCTTTCAGAATGACTCGACACGTAAAATCAAAAGAAAAAACAATGGCAAATTACCGCGAACTAACGTACCTGCGATGGCCGTGTATCTTGTGCAGTGGGCGTGGTTTAAACGGAAGTGGTATCACACTTACGAACCGGATACTGCATGTACTGTGTCGACTCCGCGGGCGAGCGCAACGAAGTTCAACGCAGAGAGCCTCAGATTCAATGCGGATATGCGCAGACGGCGCTAATGTGAAATCTATCTAGTTATAATGACAAAAAGTGCGTTATACTGGCGCCTTTGCTTTTTGTCAGAATCGTCGGGTCCGGATTCAGACTTCCCGGTAACAACAATATAGGTGCACCTACAAATTTTATTAATATTTCGAGGTCCTCGAGGCTACATTTTGGTCTTTCCACAAGATTGTGCATGGAAGGAAGGGGGAAAGCAGACCAAAACTTATCGCCTTCCTCTCAATATATTTACTTCTTTTGAGAGCATTTGCCCTGATGGCCACCCGCCCCCATCTACCTTTGGCCAACTATGAATTGGAAATATGTGCGATTGTGACATCCTAAAAGGGTGTGGTTGTTATCCTTGCAATTGCCAGAGGGGTGCTAAAGGTGCCATTATCATTTACTGATGGGGTATGATACATCTTAGACAAGGAAATGAATTTTGAAAACTAGTGATTCAACATGTGATGTTAGTTCATTTCTCTTCCGTAGCCTTCGCCGTCTGCTGTGACCGATATATAAAGACATGAACATAACAACATAAATAGTCACGTCAGTTTCTGTGGTTTAGATACGACATTCAAGAATGTCTTGTCCAACCAAGGCCTGCCATTTCATCGGCGATCTCCTTTCCAACATTCTTCACGATTTCAATTCCCAAACTGCAAAATGACTGTTACCAGACGCTGACTTTTCTCTTGACATTTATTTTGGGCAAGTGCGTCGGTAAACATTCGAAACTATGGTACATTACTAAAGCATGATGAAGTCTTCAATGTTATTTGCAAGAGAATTTGGGAGCTGTAATTCATTAAAGCAATAAAAGTTTTGTGTTCACCGGTAGGGGTGAAATATGTCATCTTTCCATAACCTAGATCAGTTACTAATTCTTTTTTCAACTCGAGTGGTTTTTGTTACTATTAAACTTTTTGGGTGTATTAGCATAACTCAGAATTTAGACTGTAATCCGATTTGAAATTTATCGAACATTACTTTTTTAAGATTTCTGTCATCGAGAGGTTAGTCTTTTCACGAGTCATTATTTTCTTGGTGTATGTGCACCTCGTTTTCATCGAACTGGGCCTTACACTGCTCAACCTGGTTGAATACATCAATAAAGGCCTCAATGCCCCGGGTCGGGTCCGAAATCACTGCAAAGAAGAAAAAAACAAAAAATTTGTTCCTTCAGTCTTTATGAAAGAGTGTGAAAAATTTGAACAATTCACCAGGAAGGTCGGAGACTATATACAGGGTGTCCACATAAAAAGTATGCCGAGATAAAAAATACTGTAATAGCAAGACTACTTTAGGTATGGGAAAGAGAAATATATCTCTAGAAAGGACAGAATGCCCTCTTTGCAATGGTATACAGTTTATTTGTGATGTTATTGACACAGATGAGTGAAAAAACTAGACCGGTGTTCAGGGTGCTGAAATCGGCTTTGTTACAAGTTTGCATGTGTGATTAACAAGGGTAGACCATGCAAGTATGCAGAATACCAAATGCCTTTTATATGGGCACCCGGTAAAGCAAAAGAATACAGTTCTACGGAATGAAACTGTCAAATACGAACCATCAGAGCGAGTGACGAGTTTAGGGATGTCATTGGTCCAGAAAGAGACGTAGTCCTGGCGGATACCACCGCTCTTGGTCGGAAAGTAGACAGAGATATCCTTGTATTGCTTCTTGTCTAGATTGTACTCCGGCCAGTTGGGTACGACGCCATCGTTGGGTGAACTGGGAAAGAGTTGGAAACATTTGAGAGTAGACAAGAGGGGTACATGTATATCAAAGGCAAAAATAATACCTCGTTAGCTGAAGAGGCGCTGTTCTCACTGACTGTGACATTTTTCATGTGTTGCTTATCGTAATATTTTATGAAACCGTTATCGCCTTCCAGTTTCTACTGCGGTAAATTTTGTTCTCCTCTATAAGTTTAGATTGAGGGGAAAGTTTGGAGCTTGCTCTACAATTTCTTACCCTGTCTTCGCAAAGTTGGTCCAGTATTTCATGATAGTGTTGGACATCATCCTCTCCTCAGGCAGTGGCTTTTTGATCTTGTAGAACACTTTGGGAATCCAGGAATTGCCGAAGACAAAGGGAAGGTCGTCCGCGTGGATGGCACCCACCCACTTGGGGCCTAGGAAAAAGATGTGAAAGATGGAGACGGTTGGTGTATGCGTCATCTGGTACATGTAGACCTTGTTGCCTTCCCGTAGGTGAGCCTGAGCTGTGACCTCAGTGGGGACTATCCAGATGTAGTCCGTCATGATCTTGATGAAATTATCTAGGTAATCGGAGGTGGGATCAGCGGCTTGGCTGTCGCTGACGTAGCGGGCCTCAATGGCCTGTTTCATGGCGGCGTTATTTGCCACGTCACCGTAGTTGTAGATCCAGCCAGGGTAAGTCTTCAGAAACTTGTCGTGGCTCATGGGCGGGGCCTTGGAAGCGAAGAAAGAGAAGAGGTTCTCGGCCAAGGCCACCAGGGAGCCCTCGTCTCTCATTGCTCCAATCAGTATGTCGAGTTTCTGGAAGTCGCCTGCGGCCAAGATGTTCTCTGGCTTGTCGTGCAGGAACGATCCATCCACCACGGGCAGGTAAGCCAAACCAACCTGAGATACGTCAGACGAACAGCTATTTATTATTTCACATAACCAGTGCACGGAAGGCATTAAAAAACTCGTTAAGGTGACACACATTCGGTCAGATGCCCGCAATTCGGTGATGCCTGCCGACGAGGATGCTGTGCACTTTTGTGTACATGAATATATATTTTACAAACAATAAAATTGGTGGCATCAAAAAGTACATCCAACAGTGAGTAATCAAACAAGTCAGAGCTTTATTCTTTGATGTTTCCCCTTTAAAGGGTTACCTGTATTGAAGCTCCAAAAATCTATTTGGCCAGACGAGGGAACGAAGTTTAAAGGTGTACACTAGACACGTATAAAACTTAACATAAAGAAAAGAGACGTGGGGAAATTTTAAGGCCCTATTCCTTGCAGATGCCCCAACAAAAATTACCCCGAAGTCTAGCAACCACAGAAAACCTATTTTTTTAAACTCCTCCTCAGTTCGTACACTGACCTTATAGGCAATAGACCGGAACTTTCTTGCCGGCAACGCCTGCAAACAGGAGATCATTTCGGCAGTGGTGCCCGTAGGACAGCCCGCCTTCAGCCCCACTTCCTTCGCCTGATTTTTGGCGTAGTCGAGAGAGCGTTGGTAGGCGAAGAACGACGTCGACGTACCGCTCTGTTTGGGGGAAACGAATAAGATGCACTACAGGTGACAAATTGAGCTTTTGACGACTAAAGACGAATACCTGTGCAATAAAGTGAAAGTGCGCAAAACATCCTACTTTACTTTTTGCAATTGTAATGGACTGTTCTCAACTTGGAATAACTTGCTCAAGATAACCATCATAAAAGTGAATGGGAAGTTCCCCCCTCCAACTATACATACCAAGAAAGTCATTGCAACATGTACATGTATGTGCCCATTATGCATAAATTCTCGTAAATGCACCTTGCAAAACTCCCTCCGTAATCATCAAGACTCAGGACCAGATTGAATGCCGTAGGCCCTCGGCACCGGCTCCCTAGACATCTTAACCTTTTTAGACACGATGCTTTTCGTTTTGTGGCATTTTCACTCAGATTGTGCCTATTTTGTGGATTCCAGTTATAGCGCTTATATTGTGCCTATTTGTCAGATAACCTGGCTGTGAAAGGCACCTCCACCACACACACAAAGGACATTTTCCTACCTGCATGATTGCTCTTGTGAAAAGACCTCTGCTGTGCTTTGACACGAGGTGAAAACTGACGCTGGCGCCGCCAGCACTCTCTCCAAAGATGGTGATGTTGTCGGGGTCTCCACCAAATCCTTGATAACAATTATTATTGTAATAATATTAACAATTATGTTATCAAGTATATAGCAACATGTTTATATTGTTTTGGAATACACCTGTACATTTGTTGAAAACATTTCACAACCAACTTACTATGAATGTTGTTCTTCACCCACTTGAGAGCCAAGACTTGATCCAGCAAGCCAACGTTACCAGGAGCCTCGCTGTCACCTGCCAAGAAAAGCAATACCAGGTGGTTTATAAACATCAATGCATCGAGGATTCAAATTACTTCAAGAACAAGACTAGTGTGCATGCAACATGGATCTATTTAACCAAGGGCCTTTTATTGACAACTTTCTGTGCAATAAAATGAGTTAAACACAATGAAACGCTAACATCTGATAAAAAGTTTCACAATAATAATCGAAATCGCTCATCTAGTATCAAATTTTAATGTATATTTATGACACTTTTGCCCTTCGATTGGAGAGAAGAAAATGAAAAAACACCAAGATATTCACCAACGTTTAGAGTTCTTTTCCGGTGTTCAAAAGTGGAATAAAGTTTTAAAAAAAGTTAAGTCTAGCTGTTGTTGACTGTTCTTAACCGTTCTTTTCAAGGAAATTTATGGAGACGCGTAGTAGATAGCAAAGGGAAAATTTTCAGCTTTTGATGAATCAAATTCTGGTTTTACAAAACCACGAAAGGCACTTCTACATTTTTTTGTCCGATCGAAGACAAATTTAGGCCATCAGTTTCTGCCACCTTCGAGACTTCCTTCAAACCCATGCTTGCTGTAGTTATCTTTTGTTTTAGAAAGTGCCAAAGAAAAATACTGACCAGTTGAAAGGAAGCCAAACGGCCCAAGGCGGTAGTTGATGGCAACATAGATGACATCACCTACGGCTGAAATGGGCTGGCCTAAGTATTCCGGCATTGACCCGTAGCCGAAGAAAAAGGCACCGCCGTGAATAAAGACCATGACCGCGGCAGTCTTGGACTGCATGTATTTGTAGGAAAAGGAAAGAGCAGTAACAATAGATTAAGAATAACGGCTGTAAGCTCTACACAAATTCAGAATCGCACAGGCACAGAAACATTTCCCAACTTTAGGGAAATGGTCAGCAAATGAAACAGGAAATTGTAACACATTGATGACACTGCCTATATAGATACACGTACTATCGCCACGGTGTAAAGTATTCTTGACGTTTTTCCACACTGAAACCCAAAGTCACTTGAGTCTGATGTAATTCTTCATCACTTCGAGAATTCCATTAAAATTGCATCTCGTTGGTCAAAAACTGGAAATTACACTTACTACGGTGTGAGGGCGATAGACGTCGAGGAACAAGCAGTCCTCGTCCATGCCACTAAACGAGATGAAGTATTGGATGCAGGCAGGGCCGTGACGGGCTGCGTTGAGAGTACCGCTCCAGGAGTTGACGGGTACCGGGGGCTGGAAACGTCGGAGCCCCAAAGGCGGCTCGGCATATGGAATGCCCTTGGGAACAAATACAAGATGGTTTTCAGAAATACCTAACAAAAAACAACTGTACATTTTAATTTCTTAAAACAAATTGAGATAAACCTTGACAATAAACAGCATTCAAAGAGATTCTGTGTTTAACAAGGAAGTTTGTCAGCACATTGTGAAATGCATCGTACATGACGGTAAAACCGACAAAGAGATAATAATAAATAGATGTTATTAGAAATAAATATACACAGATCTGTACAAAAGGTTTTGACGACAAATAAAGGCCCTTAATTGATGACAAAAATAATAGCTAGGGATTTCTGCTTTACACTTACCCTGTAGATGTCAATCTTCTTGTCCACCTTCAGATATTTATCTTCCTTGAAAGTTTCCGTAACTCCTTCGATTCTACCGTTCAGTGTCTGGATGAGTGGCCCGGCCATCGCAGAGCCGACCAGGACCAGCAGGCAAGCAAACACGCATAAATTCATCTTTGTCCGCGGTTCGGATAAAAAACTGCACGTATATAGCCTTTTTACTGTGGAGGCGAGTGTACACTTCAGAGTTGCCTGAGCAAAACCAAACTCTGGCAATTCGTTATAACATTTATGCTGTCGGTTATCAGTGGCCAAATGACCAAAAAAAATTACTTCCTCTCTCTCACTATCAAAAAACGATGAAGTCCTTCATCTGCCAATCATATGTAGGATGATTGTGGGACCTGTCTTTCATTTCATTTTAGACACTAGTTTTAGTTTAGCTTTAGTTTGATGGTAATCTTGAAATGCATGGAGAGGAATGAGACGAACACAACATAGAGAACACAAATCAGAAAATGATTAATAGGCCATTGAATCGTTTCAACAAATGCAAAAGGGTTTTGCTACAAGGAGAATACATATGAAAATGTAATGACCCAGTTTTGCCCCCACCTCTTTACTTCAATTTCTACTCTAAACACTTCACATTAAATTTATTTTCCAAGAAATTCCATTTTTATACACTTTTGAGTTTGCATGGCCCGTTGTGGGTCTGATTTGAAGGCAAATCGAAGAAGGCTTCTGTTCATCATGCGGCCATCAGCGAATCACCGCAAGGAGCAACGTGGGGTGAAACTTCCGAGGGAACTTTGGGGTGCTCACATTTCTTTAACGGGGTACTAAAGGCAAACTAACTGCAGGGTGAATGCAGCTTTTGTGCGTCTCATGATTTCAAACTAACGGGGGTGCAGTACCAAGTGGCGCACCCAAGATTTGTCGTGGGGGGACCTCGGGCTGGATAGTTACCCATCACCCAAATAGCTCCTGATGCTAAAGCGTCCCCCTCCCCCGGTTGCACAACTGTGCAGTACCCGACCGATTTGAAATCTTGAAGTGAGGGTATCAGGACGACAAATATCTGCTAGGTACCGTAAAACTCGGTCCAACGGAGCTAGGCCGCTGCAGCGTAGTAGTTTGTATAACTTCATGAAAGCAAGCAAGGTGTGGCTTGTACATAGGGTTGTGTACATTTCAATATTTGAAGACACCCAGGAGGGGAACACAGACCTCGGCTGGAGAAACGTTCCCTACCCCCAACCCCCCGTAACGCCAAAGGTAACACTTTAGTCGATCATTCGCAAACATTACAGATAGTGAGTAAACCACACAAGATCCTGAAGGAGAAAGAAACGCATTATTGTCACTTCCTGAAAAGCTCAGGGCAGGTTGGTGCCGGGGGGGGGGGCTTTACAGCTGTTCATTTTCTCACAAAATGTTACAATTCTGTCAACCAGCGTCAGCTCTAAAATTAACTGATTGGCAGTTCAGACAGATAAAGCGCACATCCACTTTTCTTTATCAGCGCATTCTGTCATTTCAGAAGCAGACGTTACAGCAACACAGGAAAATTTAACTTAATCTTTAAATAAAATTTAAAAAAAAAACCCAAAAAATACTTAGATTGCTGACATTATTGACGCACGCCACATCGATCTAAAAACGCATTTGAAGAAAGAGTGTAAGTTTCGAAAGCTTTTTTTTTCAACTCATATCGCACGTGACAGTCTTAAGAGTAAGTATGTGCATACCATTGAATGTTTCCGCCAAAAACTTGGCAAGGGGTCATATCGCTCATACAATTGACAAGGGGAAGGGCCACCGGATTCCCTTAAGTATAAGCCCCTTCCGTGTGAACTTCTCCAAGTATCAAGGAAGAAGTAGAAGTAACTTCTGTCGGGAAAGGACATGGTAACGTCACGTGATGGTGCTATGTCCTGTCCCACGCCCCTTTCCTTATCCCATTCTGGCTTGTCAAATTTGTTAAATGTAATCATTCTGTGGAAGATCTGTGCTACTTTTCACTGTTTGTCGGCAATTTCTGGTTATGGTCGCCCCGACTTAATAGCCTGAGAGTGTTTACGCGCGGTGGTGGGTTAACTTGAAAGTATACTACTTACGCCCTTCACCCCTGAAGGAGCATAGGCCATCAACGACAGAACTCCACTTCACTCGGTTTTGAGCCATCTTTTCTACCAGCTTCCAGCTGGTACTGTGCCTCTTCAGCTCTGTTTCAGGGTCTCTCCTCCAGCTGCTTCTGGATTGCCTTCTTCTTCGTCGTTTCCCCCCTTGGACTCCAAATTAGTGCCTGAATCGTAATATTGAATGTTGGTTTTATTAGTGTACGACCAATCCAGCCCCAATCCCTTCTGCCTGTTGACTGTCTCTTGACTACCTCTCTGCCAAAGCTCAGCTTTCAAGATTATTTTCTAGAAGATAGGCCTTAGACATGTATTGATGAAGGTCTGGGTCGTCTGTTGTGTCTTCTTCTTCAACCTCCATGTCTCAGAACCGTAGAGTAAGACAGATTTAATATTGGAGTTGAAAATACGTAATTTGGTTGATATACCAATTTGCCTTGGGCTCCATTACCTTTTTAAACATGACAAAGGCAGCTGTTGCTTTGCCTATCCTAGCGGTGACATTCCGGTCTATACCCCCTTTAACGCTTCCGAGATACACAAATGAACCCAATCAATGGCTAAGAGGAACAAGAAGTGTGATGACAGGCATCCCTGACGCACTCCAGTTTTGACCTGTAAACGTTTCGACAGACGACCGGCGTGGACAACTCTGCATGGCATATCCTGACGTACACTTGACCAGGGAAATGAGCTCCTCAGGTATTCCATTATACCTCATCAGCTTCCATAGTGATTCCCTGTCCACACTGTCAAAGGCTTTTTCGAAGTTAATAAAGTTTGTATAGAGACGAGAATTGCACTCCAGTGACTACTCCACAATAATAGCTTCCGGTTATAAGTGGCCACAGGCAAAGGGCGTCAAAACAAGGACCACCGAGGTCAAGAATCGGCCAATGGAACATTCAGTGGTCTGTATTAGTATACGAGTTGGACTTAGCCCACGCAAGATGGGAGTTTTGGACACAAAGTCAGCGATAGAGGGCTCAATCATAATCCACAGACTGGCTATACTAGCAAAACAGGGCGGATACAGGGCTTGCATGGTTTCTTGAAGGGGGGATCTGAGGATTTCCCTATGTAGTCTATATATGCCTTTTTAGGACTGAGTTAAATGTGGGGGCTCTTATACGCCCTTTGGGAAGGAAGGAAACTGAATTAATGAAATAGGTCCCTCAAATCGTCCTCTAATTGATATGCAGTTTATATTGACACGCTCAATGGGTATTTTGTTGTGATAATATTTTACTACTGCAACAGCTGACAGAACTCAATAAATACAATGACAGAATGTGTAACAGAGAGTTTTCTTCGAAAACTGATGCGTGATGGCGCCTACCCAAATTGTTTTTCCGTCAGACTCTCTACACTAACAGTTCAAAAAAGAAAATCGCCCCCCAGTTTAATGTTATTTTTTTAACTAGACGGTTTGCCCCTCCCCCTCCGCCGAAAAAAATTCTGGTGACGCCCATGCCTCTTTTTAGCCAATGTGTGTTGCCATTTTGGACGAAATCACAATGTTGATACCATTGTATAAACATTAAAATTTGACATGATTTAGGAGATTTCAACTGGAAAAAAAGAAAAATGAAGTGAAGGTGAAAGGGAAAACTGGATTAAAATCCCCAGGCTCTTTGACCTCACATCCACGCATTCACTCGTCACAAACCACCCATACAGCGCAGGGCGCTAAGAAGGGAAAATAAACAAATGTAGTATTTTTTTGTCGAGAACTTAGAGGATGGAGTTTATTTTAACATCTGGATAGGTGTCGACACTTCTGGCCCAGTGTGCATGACACGTGTGCACTTGTATTGCAGTTAAGGCAGTAACCTGAACTGCTTTGAGTATCCAAAGCTGTGAGGTATTTCAAGCGTTGTATTTGTAAAAGCACTGTTTTTGATCTCCATTTTAAATATTTTAAATTAATTAATAAATTTCGACTGATGAAAGTTCAAATGTAACGTTCAAGTCCACTTGCTTCTGTTTGGCACTTGGAAAATGTAGGATGGAATTAAAAACAGTCTTCCCCTCAACAAAACAAACAAGCTTTGTTGAAATGTGGCATTCCTGTTTGTTCCAATTAGCAATCTAAAACCAAATCTCACTGTATTTCACCCTAAAGATACATCTGAAAACGATGCGCCGAATACAGCAAGACTTATGAAACTATTGAAATATTCGCTGCGGCGGGATATCAATTTCAAGCCGCTGCAAGATCTTATAACTCGCCAAGGCGAGATAGTAACTCGAAAAAAAAACTTTTTGCAAGTGGCCATTATACGCTTCCGTAAGAACTAAATCTGGGAGCGCCAAAATTATATTTGGGGGACCAAAAATTGTTTGAAATGTCTTTATGTAATATTTCAGGGCCTTTTGGAGGGGTTGAGACTACATTTTAGTCTTTCTACACGCTTTTGGAAGGAAGGGGTTTGATCAAGACAAGATCGCCTTTTTCTCATTATGTTTGCTCCTTTTGGGGGCATGGACCTCGATGGCCATCATCCACCCCCCCCCCCGCAGTCCGACTTTGGCCAATTATTGATTCATTGACAACATCTACGATTTTGAGGGTTTCCTAAAAAGAAATACAAAGGTGCTTTCCTGTCAGTTATTGACCAGAAGGGTGCTAAAGATGCGATTATTACCAGCTGATGTGGAATGATACATCTTAGACGATAAAATAAATATTATTTTGAAAACTGATTCAAAATTCGGTGACAGTTCATTTTTGTTCCATAGCCTTCGCCGCCTGACTCTCCTGTGTCCTATAGTAACATCGGTTTCTGTAGTTTAGATACAACATTCAAGAATATCGAGTCCAATTTTTACCAAGATCTACCATTTCGTCAGCGAGCTCCTTTCCAAAAGTTTACAGGATTTTAATGCTCAAACTACAAAATGACTGATACCAGATGCTGACTCTTTTCTTGACGTTTATTTGGGCAAGTGGTTCGATAAACAACCAAACTAGGTTACATTACTAAAATGTGATTATGTCATCAACGTTAATTGCAAGAGCATTTGGGAGCTGTAACTCCCATTAAATTCAACTGCAACATAAATTTGTTGTTCACGTGTCACGGGTAAGGATGAAATGTGTCATTTGCTGTCTCTTCATAACTTAATTCATTCACTAATACGGCCGTTTCACAAGAGAGCGCCACCAAGAGTTTGCAGCGCGTTCGCCTATCACAATGCACGAAATCTATCGACCCAATGCGCGTTTGGAAAGGGTATACAACTTTCGCGCATTATGACTGGCCAACATGTTGCAAACTCTTGGTGGCGCACTATTGTGAATCACCCGTACTGTTTTTAACTCGAGTAGTTTTCATTGCTATTAAGCTTCCTGTGTGTTTTCACATAACTCAGAATTTAGACTGCAACACGGTTCGAAATTTATGGAACGTTAAATGTCTTAAATTTCTGTCATCGGCAGGTTAGACTTTTCACGAGTCACTCTTTTCTTGGCGTATGTACAACCCGTTTTCGTCGAACTGGGCCTTACACTGCTCTACCAGGTTGAATACCTCAAAGAAGGCCTCAATGCCCCGGGTGGGATCCGAAATCACTGCAGAGAAAAACCCAAAATGTTTATTCCTTCAGTCTAGGATGTGAAAGATTTGAACGATTCGTCAGGAAAGTCAGACACTAATGAAAGAGAATATACAAATGAAACTGCCAAATACGAACCATCAGAGCGAGTGACGAGTTTAGGGATGTCATTGGTCCAAAAGGATACGTAGTCCTGGCGGATACCACCGCTCTTGGTCGGAAAATAGACGGAGATATCCTTGTATTGCTTCTTGTCTAGATTGTACTCCGGCCAGTTGGGTACAACGCCATCGTTGGGTGAACTGATAAAGAGGAAATATTTGAGAGTAAACAGGAGGGTTAAATGTATATCAAATCAAATCAAATGTATATCAAATGAAGAGGCGCCGTTTTCCCTGATCGCGACATTTTGGCTAGGCCTATGGATGTAGATTTTATGGACCCATTTTCGGCTTCAGTTTCTACAACGGCGAATTTTATTTCGCCTCTATTTTTTAAATTGAGGGGAAAGTTTAGAGCGTGCTCTGCAATTTCTTACCCTGTCTTCGCAAAGTTGGTCCAGTATTTCATGATAGTGTTGGACATCATCCTCTCCTCAGGCAGTGGTTTTGTGCTCTTGTAGAACACTTTGGGAATCCAGGCATTGCCGAAGACAAATGGAAGGTCATCCGCGTGGATGGCACCCACCCACTTGGGGCCTAGGAAGAAGATGTGAAAGATAGAGACGGTTGGTGTATGCGTCATCTGGTACATGTAGACCTTATTGCCTTCCCGTAGGTGAGCCTGAGCTGTGACCTCAGTGGGGACTATCCAGATGTAGTCCGTCATGATCCTGATGAAGTTATCTAGGTAATCGGAGGCGGGATCAGCGGCTTGGCTGTCGCTGACGTAGCGGGTCTCGATTGCCTGTTTCATAGCGGTATTGTTGGCCACGTCACCGTAGTTGTAGATCCAGCCAGGATAAGTCTTCAAAAACTCGTCGTGGCTCATGGGCGGGGCCTTGGAAGCGAAGAAAGAAAAGAGGTTCTCGACCAAGGCCACTAGGGAGCCCTCGTCTTGCATTGTCCCAATCAGTATGTCGAGTTTCTGGAAGTCGCCTGCGGCCAAGATGTTCTCTGGCTTGTCGTGCAGAAAGGATCCATCCACCACGGGCAGGTAAGCCAAACCAACCTGAGATACGTCAGACGAATGTTTATTATTATTTCACATAACTATGCGTGGAAGTCATTAAACTCGTTCAGGTGACACAAGCTGTCATTCGGACAGATGCCCGCATTTCAGTGGTACCTTTGGACTCGGGTGCAGTACACTTTTATGATGTACTTACGGACATGAATATATATATTACAGACGCTCAAATTGGTGGTATCAGAAAGTATACCCAAGAGCGAGTAATCAAACAAGTTACAGCTTTATTCTTTAAAGTTTTCCCCTTTAAAGGGTTACATGTATTGAAGCTCCAAAAGTCTATTTTAGCCACGAGAGTGAACGAAGTATCATATTTTGTTCCTTGCTCTATGGTTAGACACGTGTGAAACGTAACATGAAATTTAGAAAAGAAACTGGGAGAAGTGTTAAAGCCCTATTCCTTACAGATCCTGGAGTCTAGCAACCACAGAACACCTACTTATTTATTCAACTCCTCAGTTCTTATACACTGACCTTATAGGCAACAGATCGCAACTCTCTCGCCGGCAACGCCTGCAAACAGGAGATCATTTCGGCAGTGGTGCCCGTAGGACAGCCCGCCTTCAACCCCACTTCCTTCGCCTGATTTTTGGCGTAGTCGAGAGAGCGTTGGTAGGCAAAGAACGACGTCGACGTACCGCTCTGTTTGGGGGAAACGAATAACATTATTGGCAGGTGAAAAACTGAGCTTTCGAAGACGAAAGAGAATTCCATGTGCAGCAAAATGAAAGTGCTCAAATCACAGGGGCAGTCTACTTTTTTGCATTTATTTTGTTATAGGCTATTTCTCGTGACGTGAAACAAATGGACCAAGATATATATCATGCAGGTGAATGGGGGAGTTACATCCTCCAAATATGCACAGCAAAAAAGTAATAACACAGCGGGCAACATTCAAGTACGTGCCCATTATGCATGACTGCTCTTAGATGCTTGCATCCTGCAAAGTTCCGTCCGTAATTATCAAGACTCAAAATCAGATTGAAAGCCGTAGGCCTGCGGCATTGAATGCCTTATACATGTTCAGGTTTTTTGACACGTTGGTTTTAGGTTTTATGGCATAGGCCCACATAGGCCTTAATTTTTTGTATGCCCCGAGACATTTTAAGACCCCACTGTTACAGCACCTATTGTGCCTATTTGTCGGATAACCTGACCGATAACCTGGTACATACACCAATACACACAAAGGAGGTCTGATTTTCCTACCTGCATGATTGCTCGTTTGAAGAGACCTCTGCTGTGCTTTGACACGAGGTGAAAACTGACGCTGGCACCGCCAGCACTCTCGCCAAAGATGGTGATGTTGTCGGGGTCTCCGCCAAATCCTGTGAAATTTCCATAAGTTTTGTAACAATTATGTTGATCTGAATTTATAAAGCAATTGTAATTTTATGTGATTCTTCTGTGAAATTCTTGTTGAAAGAAGTTCGCAACCAACTTACTTTGAATGTTGTCCTTGACCCACTTCAGAGCCAAGACTTGATCCAGCAAGCCAACGTTACCAGGAGCCGCGCTGTCGCCTGCCAAGAAAAGCAATACCAGGTGGTTTCTAAACATCGATGCATCGGGGATTCAGGTTTTAAATTACTTCAAGAACAAGACTAGTGTGCATGCAGCATGGAGCTGTGTCATCAAGAACCTTTCATTGATAACTTTCTGTTCAATGAAATGAAAAAGGCTAACATCTGATAAAGAGTTTCGAAATAATCATCCAGTTATATATAACGGTTTTGCCCTTACCCAACGTA